GATGAGTTGTTGTGTCTGGTATGATATCATGACCACATGGAGAAGTCTAGCTTTCGGAATAGACTAGTTGATTTATCCTTCTTGAAATTGTTAAGTGTTCGCTTCTAACCTTGACTGCTTATGTGAGCGTGTGTGCATCACTCATCTTATCCATCACATATCTCTAGTCTACATTTTTAATGACGCTTTAAAAAATAGAGTTGCCCTCGTGGTTTTGCCTCACTTTCCCCTTTTAAATTGTTAGTATCTGTTTGGTTAAACGAGTGCGTGAAATGAAATACTCTAACTAAATCCGTAGTTGACTGCTGATTACAGCTATCTCACAAACAGGGTCAGTCTCAGTGTAATATGCGGAGTTAAGTGGAGGATTTATATTTACACATAATCGTAAGTTTTTTTGAACAGGTGTCAGATCCATAGGCCATTTATTACTGATGCAGTTTCGCCCCCATACATCGTGGTTGATAACATGGCCTCTCATTTGAGCACAAAAATAACGCACTCTTAATCTAGAACCCGTTGTGGCCTGTTAGACACACACTGGCACCATCCCTCCTCTTCACATTATCTTGTCTGAGGTCGTGCTTGATTACTTTTTAACGCACTTGCACTCGGGTTTCGCTAAGCGTCTGAGTATAATGCCTATAAACCGTTTCCAAAACTCAGGTGACCGATGATAACACAAATGAACACGTAAACACTGTTAGCATTAGATCGGAAACTTTGCAAGCGTTATTCAATGTACTTAATATGTATAATAACCTCATTGGTTAGCGCAAAATATATAATAAGAATGCTTTGTAGCAAAGCATCGTATTTATGATGTAGCGGTAAATAAATCCCCAAAATAAATAGCACTAAGTTTTCGACATTGCATGCTGACCATATGTTTTAGTGGACTCATCTAGCTGAAGGCGCTCGTCCATGCATCCGCACCAGATCACGTGTGGTAACGCTGTGCTCAACATCAACCGCAATCGCTAGCCAGATTAGATCAGAGAATTCCGATATATTGGTCATCGCCAAATATACTCTTCCGATCTCCTCGACTCTGTGTTTTGATTTCTCTGGATGGGAACGAATTATATTAGAAGGTGTTACTGGTAGAAGCGTTGTCAAACACTGAATACCTGTGACATCATCATTGGTGAGAACGTCGTGGTCTGGTACACCTTATTGCAACTGTGAGTCTGTTCCTTTTTGGGATTTTTATATACCATTGCCTTATTTTTTATTTTTTTTTTAAACATTGTGATTTTTTTCGTATTTTTTCTTGGATATAAATATATTTTCCCCTCGTTCATTATCGTACTTCATATTTCATCATGACTGAACAGACACCTAAAGTAGTCAAGCTTAAAACCTTGTCTCCACCTTCGTTTCAACTGATGCCTTTCTGGCCCGACAACATCGAAGCCTGGTTTTGCTACGCAGAAGCCGACTTCTCCGAGCACGACGTGATCGACACACGTGCACACTACCGCGGGAATTCAACAGGTACATAACACCTAGTATGTTTACTAGTGATGTTTCCGAACCTTACGAAATCTTGAAATTCTTAAAAGAGGATACCTAACCGATCGACAAAGGTTAGATCAACTCTTCAATAACATCGACCTGCATATGATAGACCCACTCTATCAACCACTACTCGATAAGTACCCTGGAATACAACAAACTCAACCGAAACTACCGTGTGTAACCAGCAATGTTACACATCACATCACGACTACAGGACCACCTGTATTCTCTAAAGCACGACGACTAGCTCCTGAAAAGCTAAGGTTAGCGAAAAACGAATTCGACCACATGATGGACTTAGGAATCATACGACCGTCAAGTAGCCCATATGCATCTCCGTTGCACATGGTCCCTAAAAAGGACAGCAACGATTGGCGTCCAACTGGTGACTATCGGCGATTGAACGCGAAAACCATTCCCGATCGTTACCCGTTGCCTCACATTCACGATTTGACAGCTACCTTGAAAGGTACAACTGTCTTTTCGAAAATCGACTTGGTTAAAGCGTATAACCAAATCCCTATGGCTACTGACGACATACCGAAAACAGCTATCATAACTCCCTTCGGACTCTATGAATTTTTGCGAATGCCTTTCGGTCTAAGGAATGCTGCTCAAACATTCCAAAGATTCATAGACGACGTTTTTCGAGGTCTCAACTTCGTACACGCGTATGTTGACGACTGTCTAATCGCAAGTCCGGACAGAGAAACACATCTCAAGCATCTGGATCTTGTTTTCGAACGATTACAAAAACATGGCATAACTGTAAACGTTCAGAAATGCCAATTCGGAACCGACTCGTTAGACTTTCTGGGACACACTATCGATGCTCAAGGTATCCGACCCCTTAGAACCAAAGTGGCGGCCATTCTGGATTACCCAGAACCGACCACCGTCAAGCAATTACGCACGTTTAACGGCCTGGTAAGTTTCTATAGACGTTTCATACCGAAATGCGCATTACTTATGAAACCTCTGACCGACCAACTTCGTGGAAATGCGAAATCCATTAATTTGGACGACACCGCACGAAAAGCATTCTCCACAGTTAGGGAACTGATTGCTAAAGCAACAATGCTCGCACATCAGGACACCGAAGCACCCATTAGCATCGCAGTAGACGCATCCGACTCAGCAATCGGAGGAGTCTTACAACAATGGGTTAACAACTCCTGGCAACCCTTGGCATTTTTCTCTAGAAGGTTGCTAGACACCGAATCGAGGTACAGCACATTCGGTAGGGAACTCCTAGCTATGTATTGTGCTGTACGGCATTTCCAACACTATATCGAAGGCCGTGAATTCACTCTTTTCACGGACCATAAACCGCTCACTTTCTCGTTAAGCTCTCCTTCTGACAAGTACTCTCCCCGTGAGTCTCGACAACTGGACTACATTTCGCAGTTTACTTCAGATATTCAACACATCTCTGGAGCAAACAATGTAGTTGCAGACGCCTTATCTCGCATAACTTCCTTGAACAGTTTCCAAGGAATCGACCTTCTTAAACTCGCCGAGCTTCAAAAAGAAGACAGTGATCTTCAGCACGAGTTATCGTCCACAACACTTAAACTACGCATCAAACAGATGGGAACAGGTAAGGAAACCTTACTTTGTGACACATCTACAGGTAGGGATCGCCCAATCGTGCCGAAACATTATCGACGCAATGTCTTCAACACATTGCACAAACTTTCTCATCCAGGTGTTCGTGCAACCATCAAGCTTATAGCAGAACGGTTTTGCTGGCCTGGTATGAATAAAGACGTGAGGGAGTGGGCACGCTCCTGTGTAAGCTGCCAAAAATCTAAGGTTATCAGACACAATAAATGTCCCTTAGGCTCATTTAAAACTCCCGATGCTCGTTTCGACCATGTTCATCTGGATTTGGTAGGACCTTTACCAGATTCAAATGGATACTCTTACCTCTTAACCTGCGTAGACCGTTTCACTCGATGGCCAGAAGCAGTACCTATCAAGGACATCACTGCTGAAACAGTGGCCCGCACCTTCGTCGCGAGTTTTACATATTCCCAATTAGAGTCAGAATTCATTTGCTTTTTCATGGAAAGGAAAATGCATGTGAAGAATGTGCAGGATTATACCCAAATGACGATGGTTTCTACGAACAGCTAAGATCTTGTTATTGTTATTGTAAGTAGAGACGATTCCAACTACTGATGGATATCTAAAATATTATTCCATTTACTTGTAGCTGTAAATACACACTTAAAATACATAGATCTGTGTGTCTTCGACACTGATACAAACCTCATTAGTCGCGCTGGGCATGTCTTTCAGCTGGAGTCGCTCGATCACACATCCTCACCAGATCACCATCGGGTTCGGCGAGATACCCACTCCTCGCAACAATCAGCCAATATAGATCAATCACTTCTCGGCATATTGAATGCCTCTTAATTATCATTTTCTAATTCCTTCATTTCTAACGTTTGGTTCAACTAAGTTTGAGATTTTTCTATTATAAAGTTTTCACGAATGAAAACACTGTCAAACCACGAATATCTGTGACATCTAAAGAAGACTTGCAAATGCTGTTTTGGGGCGATTTGACGACAAGGAGTACCATTACAGCTCTCGACAAGTCAAGTTAGAACCTCTCGTGATCACGAGCGTTAAATCAATTCTTATCTTTATGCTTCGGCTTATAATTGGCCTCCACTCCTTTGTACTTTATCATATCGTCCTACAACCGGAGAAGTGAATGGAAAGTTCTATCGATTCCGAGAACCTACTTAAATTTACGTTGAACTTCGTTATTCACTATTCAACAATATTGAACAGACTCTCAGTAAACCTACGTTACAGTTTAACTAAAACCTGATAACAAAAGTATCGTTGATGAATTGTGTTCCGAACGTGGTCTGTGTCACTTATTAAACATCAGGGAGATTATAAATGATTTATTCAAATAACGTCCGATATCTATCTAATTGACTGTAAAGCAAAGTAGAACATTTGGAATTCTGTTCGTTTGTTCACTTTTTCTGTTTTGTCGTTGACGGAGATCGACGAACTGTCCGTCATCCAGTGACCAACTGCCGGATGATTTGTCTAGGGCTCAGTGGCATTTCACTTGCCTTACAAACACATTAGTTATTCAACTTTTCTTCGTGTAAACCAGTGATTTGTGCAAAACTCGCGTTTGCAGAAAAATTTCGGAATTCCCATTTATTTTGTCTCATTTTTTGCCCATGATCAAGTCCTCAACAAAAGGAAGTAGCTCTACAATGCTACAAAGCAACTAATTTTCAAGAAAACAGTCACAAAACAAGGAGCGAACCAAAGTGTATTCTAAAAGAAAGAGAAAGCATAGCTTACGTTCTTTGCAAAGACTTTGTGAATTCCACGCAGAAGCGGACCACATAAGTTCGAGAACACCTGGAAATCAAACAGCATCACAGACATTCAATCAGCCTGGACGAATTAAAATACGGGCTGGTTGCAATAAATTACTCGGTTCAAGGTCATTGAGGCGAAACAGCGGGCGATTTGGAGAGTGTTTTGCCATTTTATCGTGGCTCAACGGACATTGCGCATCACTTATAATGTTACCATCTAGGTTCAAAAAGTTGTGCACCTGTTTTACTTCGTATCAAGATATTCCAGCAATTCTCCTACTAATAGTACTATATGTTTTTCAGGTTAGTAAAAACGTCGGTTATACACGATCGATTTTATTCAATATCTATACTTAGATATTATTCTGTTTTTATTCAGTGTCGACGTATTCAATCCGGTTACAGTTATATTAATTTTTATGTTGGGGACTAAAATATGTATATATAAGCTATTTTGGTTACACAAATCGACCGAATTTTGTCAGCGTACACATTTGCTGACCATGGTCAAAATCCGACTGTACTTTTATTTAGCTGAAAGGACCGAGGAGCTGAAGTGCCTGTTTTAATCGTGAACAAGAGTGTCATTACTTAGGAAGGCAAGATATTTGACCTTAAGTAACTGTGTGGAGACGTTTGTTGTCACTGATTGAATGATTGTGGTTATTATATTGCCTTTCCAAGCCACGAAAATTCGAGTTAAAAGTAACTACAAAATACCGTGACAGTTGTGATTGGGCAATCTAAATTCCATTATTTAAGTGAGATATACATATTTCTATAGAGATTTCGGCACATGAAGCCTCATACGATGGCTAAAACCATTAAAAAATGCCATAGGCACTATTTTTTGAGTATCTTTTAACGTATTTACTATCCCATTCGTCGTTTGTTCTAATGGTAGCCATTGTAGTATGTCTGGATTGACGGGCTTGTCTTCGAATTTTTCCTCCGTACTTTCCCTTAGACTTTATATATGTGAGTGAATACGCATGACCTCCTCATTGACCTAAAGAAATGCCCTTCATTGTTGTAGATAGTCTTTTTAAAATTATAATGTTGGCACATTTGGTGCCAATGTTCCAATGCTACTCACACATTGCTAAAATATATTCCTATTTGAGATATCAATGAGACTCAGCTTTCTGAAAACTGTTTTATTGCGACAACTGATTTAGTGATTTGATTATATCAGAGCGCTTTATGGAAAATCATTGGTTTTGGTGTGTTTTATAAATATTGGTTCGTTAGCTTAGTAAAGACCGTGAATATTCAACAGTCTTGATAAAAAACTTGTAAAAGCAGAGTTAAATACTTTAAGAGAACACAGCCTTTTAAAGTTAATAACAGTTAGTGAATAATGCCTATGGTAAAGTTCGTAAAATCAAGTGTTGTGATACGATATTTGGTACAAACATGTATTTTAGGGAAAAATTGTTGGTTTTAATTTTCGCTGTACAGCTGAAAATTAATAGTTCTATTTTCGACAAGTCCAAATTATTTATTAATTTTTAATAGGGCATTTCTATTGGCATTTCTGCTGCGATTCCATTTCTTCTTCAATCCAATTACCGTGCCGGTGGCTATAATTTACAAGCAACATTTTCAATATCAGCCTGGCCTCATGCTATGAAACTTCTCTGGGCTCCAATAGTTGATTCAATTTACGTCAATTTTATTGGAAGACGGAAGACTTGGCTCATAATAACTCAGTATGCAATTGGAATTGAGTTAATTGTGCTAGCAAGTCTTATCGATGATTTGTTTGGACGAGACCCTAACAAAGCATATAGTCAGTTAGGATCACATCATCCAGTTGCTATAATACCCTTAACTATAGCATTTTTCGTACTTACATTTCTGACAGCTACACAAGATGTTGCGGTTGATGGCTGGGCCTTGACATTGCTATCGAAGTAAATTGTTTTATATTTGTTATTTTATGTATTTGAACACAAACATTGGTACAGGGGGGCACAAAATACATGTGCGTCACACAATAGCAATGAGACTGAAGAAAGAGAATGTTAATTGCGTATAATAAAAAAAGGATAACGGACAGAAATTAGTGTATGAGAGTGAAATAATAATGAAAGAAACAGTTCAGTTAGGAAAAATACAACCAGAAAGCAGTTGTGTTCATTTTTATGAAGAAAGTTACAGCGGGGCCGTCACTGTCTTCTATTCTGAGCCATGTCTGATAAAGTCTCCAGCCACTATGTTGCACGATCTCTATGACGCCAACCATGGAGTCGTGAGGGACCAACAGAAGCCAGTCCTGTACAGCTTTCTTTCATACCACGACACCATGTCGTACACTGACTATCTCGACGCTTTTTCTAACCGGCCCGAGCGTCGGCAAATAATTCACGATGTGGAGGAACAGGGTCCTATCAGTTTTATGAAAGTACTTTTCACTTGGAAGGTACAAAGCACATGCCATACATACGGAAACTGATTGCCAACTGACTGAGTGCGGATTGCATGGCTTGGGTATCATCGCACAGTAAGACAATATCATTCGCATACTCCATGTCGAAAAGTCTTTCTCCAGACGACATATCCGCACCATATGGGCCTGTTGATTTGTAGTGCTTCAAGAGTTGAAGTTTCTTTATAGACTTCCATCTTGTTGGGTGGACCAGTCATCACAGGCCATGGAGAGCAGGACAGTCAGATCGATGTTGCCGGAGCAGCGAACCGGTTGAACTGCTCCTCGAAAAACTCTGCCCATCATCCAAGATATCGGTAGATGTTAATGATCGGTATCTCGTCATCTTTACAGGTTGTTTTACTCACTCCAGACTTGTCGCTGCCAGTGACTCGGATGAGTTGAGAGATCTTCCGGCGGTCACCAGATGCGGCTACTGCTCCTGACTCGTTGGCATGCTCCTACCACTAGGCTTCTCGGTCCTTTCACAAGGTTTGCACGATTTTACCACGTAAAAGTCTTCGTCTGTGGTTAAACTCGTGTCATTCTGAGTAGACCGACGAACTTCACTGAGTTGTAAGGAGCGTGAAGAAACCCAGTGCCTATAAGCGGGACGTTTCGCGAAGCGTCATGCGACTTTACTCGCCATTTTCATGTTGTCATGCAATCGCAACCACTACTCATCCATACATTTCAGTGGGCTGGTAGCTAGCCTTGAACCTAGCTCTGTTTGATATTTCGTTGCAACAACAGCTGCAACCAATTTGTTGAGATCGATTCGTTTCGGACGATGAATTTGTTGGAATGTGAGGTAAGATTAGCGCAAAGAAGGGCATGATTAGAGTTCAGATAGGTACTCCAAAAAGGAGGAGTAGTCTTGTACACAACCACGGCAGGTGTATCTGATGGCGATGTGATCAATTTGAGTTCAGGTTTGTGATGCAGAAGTAGGATGCTGGGTAGCACATCGGCGATTACTGTGTCAGTAGTGCGAGCTAGCCGGAAACAGATTGTAGTCTGCGCACAGTTGCAGTAGACAGTTGTGTTGTTGCTTAAGATATTCTGGCCATTGTTCTAAACATTTAGACTGAGGGCATATACGGTTGCCGTCTTTTTCCGAGATTGTCTCACTTACACTAGACTTTTAATCCCGGTTTCTTTTATTGTTCTGGAAAGCTGTCTTGTTTTACCTACAGTTGATTCCTCCTTCATCTCTTTTGCTTTCGTTGCCCACCACTGCTCACGATCGTTCTGTAGACTTTTGGTAAGCTTTGATCTGAATTTTTTTCTCTCTTCATCGTGTTCAGAGTTTGATGTGGTAAGTTTGCGGGAGTCTATGAGTGCAACAGATGTCGTAGAAATTCACTGGTTTTTCTTAACCCTTTGGTTTAATTCACTAATAGATATTGCTGCTGTTTCCACAGCTGATTGTATATCTTCCTAAGCAACATTTGGATCAGCCATTTTTTCAAAATTGCCTAAGTGTGACTTCTCCTGGAACTTGCCTTTCTCAATACTGAGTTCAACTCTAATGGTTCTTCTTAATGTAGAACACAGGCATGCCTATCGACGTCCGACAATGGTGGTCTTTCTTAACTTAAAAGCAGCATTTGGCTCCGTAGACCGCGTGATTTTGTGGCAGTTTATGTCAATGAAAAGTGTACTTCGGAAATACATAAACCATGTGAGAGCTCTTTGCTCGAACGCTACTAGTCCAGAGCTTATGGTGAGCTGTCATTTGATTTTGCAACCTCAGAAAGCTCGACTGGGTTTTGCCAACTTACGTCACCATAGCGAAGGCGAGATATCTGTCTATATATATAAACGACGAGTATACTGCGCAGCAGTACGTTCTGTCTCACTTTACGGCTGCGAAACGTGGCGAATTAAGTGTAGAAGATACTCGTGAGTTACTAGTATTTGATCACAAATGTCTTAGAAATATTGCTCACATGTTCTGGAATCACTGGCTAATTAGTAGTGAGTTTAGGCTCAGGGTATTAGGGAATGATGGTAAATCAGTTGATGAGGTTGTGTACATCGACTGAAATGATTGGGCCATGTGTTAGACATTCCCAACCGCCGACTACCACGACACATGATGCTGACTGGTGTTGAAGTGGCTGAACCAAAACATGGCATCAGTTGATAAAGTCACTAACATTTAGTCTGAGCCATGTTGTTAAATGCAGACTATTTTGTTGGGGTCCTTGCGACCGTCGTAACGAGTGGTTTGAGACTGGGTAACGTGGCGCAGAATCGATCACAATGACATAAGTGTATGCACTCTTTGTCTTCCCTTAAACCATGAGATAAAGATTACTTTATACATACTCTCTACGAACCAATCCTTCCTCCCTGTATCATTTCCTCATATGCAATATTTAGTTATTTATTACTACCACCGAAGTGACTACTTCTATGGATTTTCTCATCTTTTACTGTCGAAATATGGCAACTTGGACCAATGCATTTATGTAACTGATTCTATATTTTAGGTATCTGACGGACTGATTTGAATGAATTCGTTCAAATGTGAAAGTTAGATTACATTCGTTATTGTATATCAATTACAACGGAAAATATATCAGTTGCTAATAAAAATCATTTTTGAACATTATTATAGCCTAATGTTATTTAAAGATAACTATTTAGTCTATATTTCTTAGTTGTCTAGATAAATTTGTGAATAATTTCAGAGGTTAACTAACTGAATAAAAACCTTTGATCATGGAAATAATCCTAAGCTATTTATTTAGAAAGAATCTCCGACCATTATAAAACCAGATGATTTCAGATATAGGTATTGCGAAATTTAATGTCTGCTGTTATTGTTAATTGACAATACAACAACTAGTCAGCTTAGATCATATACTTCATTGCGCATCGACGATCTTCCAAATATATAATCGAACTACTTCTTTGCTGAATTCTGCGTTGACTGGTTTTGGAATTCTCAGTTAGAAATTTGTTAGTGACGGCAACATTGTTAAGAGCTGATATCTGTAACATCTTAAGTCCTTACTCATCATATACAATATTTTGGTGCCATTCTCATTATTATAAGTGAATTTTCTGTCGAATTTTTGTTCATTAATTGTAATTTATTTTTAGTAAATTAGTGAAATATTTAATAAACAGCTATATTTCCATCAATTGTACATCAAAAATCTGTATAGATTCTTTAAATTCATACTTTAATAATATGTTAAACTCAATCCATACAATATTTTATTTTTTCCTACTAAAATTTTTTTAGGAAGAATGTTGGTTTGGCTTCTACTTGTAATAAAGTTGGACAGAGCCTTGGTTATGCGTTATCATTTATTCTCTTAGTTTGCTTAGAGTCTCCTGATATTCCTAACAAATATCTTAGACGAACGCCTATAGCAGACAAAGGATTAATAACATTTTCTGGTCTGTATATATTGTACAAAAATATCATGAATTAGTTTTGCAAATTTTATTATTATTGTACAATTTATCGATGTGGTTTAATCAAATGTTTAGAGGGTTTATTGAACTTTCTTAGTATATCAGTGATATCAATGTGAAAGTTAGAATCATTCGTATGGTAGTCATTGTTAGGGCGATCTTGATAAGATGTCATAAAGTTATGTTTGAGATACAAGATTATCAGTCATAGGGTTTATATAATCGTGGTCATTCTAATGTGATTATATGGCAGTTTTGATAGATACTTGTGCGTGATAGATTAATTTTTATCGTATCAATCAAGTGTGAACTTGATATTTTGTTGTTGAGCGCTGTAAAGAAATGGTTTTTATTTTCTTACGTATTGCTAATTATTTGATATCTTTTTGATTTTAAACAGGTTTTCTCTATGCATGGGGTTTCGGTTTCATGATATTTAATACAGTTTTGGTAATATTTAAACATGAAAAAGGCTCGAAATTGGATGGGATTATACGTCACTTCGTAAAAAGTCGTTTATTCAGTAAATCGAAATACTCGACGCACTCATTGAACAGTGAGCAGACGGCAAATAAAAACGAACAAACGGACGGAAGTGAAAAAGTCTCATTACTTAATACATATAAGACTATTATTGGTGTTATCCAACTGAAACCTGTCGCGTTGTATTTGGTATTGTTAGTTTCAGCAAAGGCAAGTAAAGCAGTTATATTAATTATCCATGTTAATTGATTTTTTTGTGTACGTGATACCGTATGATTGTTTAAGAAAGGATTCTATATTTTCTTCCTGTTTTAACTTATCACTGGCGAAGTTGCAGTATTTTAATCCGAATTTGTTCTCAGTGGGTAATATACAGAACTATATTTATATATTCAATAGGCATTGGTCGGCAACCTAAGCTTTCATAGTCCTTTATTGTGTATTATTCAGTTTGTTGCATAATTTTCGGATATGTATACTGTACAAAACGGAGCTTATAATGTTGATATTGATGAACCAAACCTTCGATTTTTAGAGAAATTTATGCAAATTAGCTCACTATCTTATTCACCAATTCAGTTGAAGGTTTTCTCCAACATTTTAGTCATTAAGCCGAATCAGTTTGATCGTGAACATTCACGTTCATTTTGAACATATATCGTTGTATTTTTAATCTGACATAACTAGTGTTCATATTTGACCATTTCAGTATACATTTCAAACTTTTGTATACTAATTTTCAGTTATTTTTTTAGCAACATATTTCAGTTTGTTTTACAACTTCTTTGAATTGTTGTTTGGTTATAGATCAAATATTGTTTTGTTTATCTGAAATTCCATACTTCCTTAAAAACTGCGAACAGTTTCTTTGTAATTTATATCTTTTTAGTTTGGTACATCAATTTTCTCGTGAGGTTTTTAGCTGACATATCAAATCTAGGATTCTTAAATCTCTGAATAAAAGGCGTTGAAGCAATGGGACATAAAGAATGAACTCACCTGAGCCATGTTATCCAAAGTCGCTCACCGCTGGTTAACGGTGGTTGGGTGGACCCCAGTCAAGTAATCTACATCAAGCTTTATGTCTCAGTCCAATAATTAGTATGTTTATAGACTGATAGTACGTCTTGATTTGATCACCCCTAGATTTTTAACAGCCTACTCCTACGCCAGCCATAATCGGGGGTATAGGTAGGCGGTGTTTGTGTTTACCTAATACATTTCTCAATCACCTCTGTTAATGAAGATCTTCTACCTCATCAGTCGATTTCCCATCTTTACCTAATATTTTATGCCCAACCAACCAACCAACCGAGATTTCATCAAACATCAACCAACCAGGGCTGATAAGAGCTCCAAGATTAGTTAAGTGGTTGACTCGCTTAACTACCTCACTGACGTTCATTAAGCTAGACGTTGACGCAGACCAGTCTTGGAGCAACATTCCGCATTTAGAGAGGGGGAATCACATCCAAAAATTGTTGCATCGTTCCTTAAGGTTGTTAGAAGACTCTTTATTTTGACGGTGTTTTTACCGAAAAAAGTATACTAGCTGCTTATTCCAAGTCAACAAGTGAGTTTCCTGGTAAAACACCAGCTACTGAAAATTCAGGCTACGAGAGAGCTATTTCTAAAAAAAATCACATATGATGAAGTTAAACAAAAATAGAGTATGTGGATAGCCTTGATGAATACCATTTAAGGTTAACAGTCCCAATAACAGTTCTCCATAAGCTCTAACTCGATCAGTGGAGCTCAATTATTTCTTTTTGATAAACTTACCTGTTTAATTGTGTTATTTTTTTCCATCATTATTGTTATCATTATTATTACTATTATTAGGTATGTGCTTTTGGTACATATAGAGCAACAAGTTTAAAGATAATCGAACATGGTTTTTCTAGAGAGAAACTGGCATTATTAAATCTTGGATTTTTGCCAATGGATTTTTTTTTACCCTTCTTATTTATGCGCTTTACTACTGGACCGAAACCATTGACTTCTGGACTAATGATATTTTTACCAAGGTAATTATTTTGGCTAATTGATATGGTTTTACTGATGTAATCACTCTGTATTTTCATCACCATTAATGCAATCTGTTATTTTTTGTGGTCGTTCTAGCCTGCTACTGATATGCTAGTTTCTTATACGGGAACACAGCCATCTACTTGAGTGAGTACGGAACATGTTATGGATTATGGCGTGCTGTCTAGATTCACGTAAGAAAACACCAGTCATAATCCATTGAGCACCAATGATCTTGAATCGACGCTAAGTTGTTATTGATTCACGATATATATAATCTGATTACTTAGTAATTCTACAATATGAGTACATATATAATAATATTCCATAAATTAGTTCTGGAAGATAACTTTCCCTCCGTTTTCGTTCGGATACGACAGAACGTTTATTGGCTAAATCGATTTGAAAATACGTTCATGACTCACTTATAAACATACATCTTCCCCAATAAATCGAACCACATTTTCAACCAATAGCGTGTCAGAAAGTTCAATCAACTTTTGGCAAAGTTTAGCTTATTAAATTCACTTGGTATTGTTTACTTGAATCTTCCCATTGATGTTTAGGACTGCAATTAATCAGTCATTTGCTTGTGCAAAAGCTAACTTATTTACTTGTAGAAAATTTTATGTCACTAAAATTCTGATTTTAACAACTTTGCAGAAATGTTCATATTACTTTACTATCGTGTTATTACTGTTCAAGTTTCTGTGTTTGTTACTTTGAAAATGATCCAGGTTACTGACAAATTGTTTATTTATTCCAATTATTCATTTCATACCGCATTTTCGAATGATTTCAAATGATACCTTAATGATGAATAATTCGAATATGACAACATTAAATAATTACACAACCAATAATATTAATAATAATACAATTATTCTAATGAAAGATAAACCAACTTATTCATTTCCATTGATATTCTATGCAATAATAATAAGTGGCTTCCTTTTGGATAAAATTACATCAACAATTATATATGTACAGTTTCATGCGTTTCATGCCAAAATAAGTGATCCGATTATTGGAGGAACCTATATGACATTATTGAATACTGTAGTAAATCTTGGTATGAGATATGCTCTTTTTGTGCTGTTTGCTATTTTGTCTATTTAAATTATCTGTTTGTGTTATTTTTTTCTCTAATGCTTCTAATATGGTTATTATGATGAAGAAATGAAATGATCATTCACTAACGTTCATTGTCCAACTTTGATTTAAGAGTCATTTGATATTACCACAATATATGAGTCAGTATAATCAAATAAAAAAATCACGTTCATATGGTCAATATGAGTTAACCATAAGGATCACTTCCTTATGTTCACTTATGTGTCATTTAATGTCGAAATGTACATCATTCATTTTTCTTAATCGAGTAAAATTTCTTGAAAATATAAAGTTACCTTTAGGGCTTCATTTAAATTATTGAGTTCATTTGTGTGACACGTTTCTAAACGTGTCTAGATAGGTATGAGATATATATTTATATTGTTCATCATAGAGCTTCAAATAGTCAACTATTTATATACCCAGTATTCATCTGAAAATTTTATCCTTAAAGTGAAACAACACTTTATCATGTTTAAAACTTGATACTAAATGAATCCCAGTATTGTAGAGTGTAATAACTGCTACAATTGATCAGTTCAAATGTAAACATTAATGACAACTGTATATTTGAAATGGATACGTTAGTGTTGACTAAACTATTACTAGTCATTCAAGTTTGATATTTGTTTCACAGGGGTCTTTGTCTTTATCGTGTTAAGTACATTATAAGAATTTATGGTTGGCTTTATCAGTGAAATGTTCATCAGGCTCTCCATTTGATTTGTAATTGTAGACTAAAACGTAATTATTTGAACCAAAAGACATTTTATTATGATTTTCTGTTTTATTTTCATGTATAATTTTGTACTTGGTTAATTTTTTTCCACAAGTAAAATGTAGTTGTGGATACTTCCACTCACTTTCATAACTTATACCAGAATAGGTATAGGAGTTTCCAATAATTCTATGTAAAAGTTTTCAGAGGTTAGGGAGATGTTGAAAAGTTCTTCGACCAGGTAGGATTTTTGAGATATTTGCAAGAGAATGTTAAACAACGACGAATTATTTTTTTTGCTGTCCGATTGAACAATTATCGACTATGTTACCAACTTTAAGACGATTTCTAGTACCTTTTAGGAACTCAAGGTCACATGTAATTCTGTAAACTTTTTTTAAAATATATAAACTGACCTTATAGATAAACCTTGAATATTCCCTACTTCTTGTTTTTGTATTCGGTGCCCAGTGACAGAAGATTTCTAACTCTTAGGATGCTGCTGGTGAGTTGATGTTCGAGCGTTAGAACACAAAATATACCAACAGCTAAATTTAAAAGAAAGCAATATCGTCTTAATGCCTAACCTGGATTAACCAATGTGGTGTTTCATCTTACAATCTGATACTTGGAAGTAATATACTTTAACCACCTACCATCTCTCTTACGATATGTATGTGAATGCAAAGACATGTTTGCACCAATGTGACTCATTAATATAGTGTACAGACGATCCATCTCAATTAAATGTTTGTATAGTGAATTTATTTAAAGTAGCTATAAAGTTGTATAAATTGAGTTCCAGAATAATAGTTTACTTATTTTGAATGTTAACTGATCCGATCGTTTCATATTGGTTATTTTTTATTTGTTCAAAATAGCTGGTGCTTTAGGAACTACTGTCTCTCTCGCTCTAATAGAGCGTTTGACAATTCATTCATGTACGAAAAATGCCAGTCATTCTGGAATACATACAAACACTAGTGGGATATTTTTAAATAGTTCATTGGCTACTGAAAATACCACTTGCTATGCTTTAGATGGAAATAACGTATGTGAATATAATTTACATGTTATACTTTGTACAATATTTTCAATGTATGTTCATTTTTCAATGATAACACAGTTTGTTGTAATGCTATCTACTAATAACTAGTAGGATTCATGACAAAAGAAATGGACTTGATAATATTTTCGTATTTTAAGCAGAGATGAATGTTGGATAACTGTGGGATCCAGAACGCGTGATTCGTCCTATTCAAGACTCATCAACTGTATGCACTTGTACTGGATCATATAATTTAAATGATAACAATATACGGGTGTGCGTACCTAAAGGAAGCGTCCAAAAACAAAGTTAATAATTGATTATTTTGGTAATCGAGTAACATAATTAAATTGTTTTTGTCTGTACAACTGAAGGTGTTATTAGGGTTAATTAAAATGATATTGAAGACTATTATAAGTAAAAAACAAAAGAGTTACGAAATATGGATTAGAAGAGGAGAGTGTCTTCTGTTACAAAAGTATATGAAATGAAAATACTAATAATAGAAGGCTAAGGCGAAGACGAATCCTATTTCTTTTGTATAGAAAAATCCATAGCTAGCATTCACTTTTGCCTAGTGGACGAGAATATTCACCAACCTGGTTCTAAAACAGTGGAAAGATAGTGGTTAAGGTTTCCGTCTTTGATCATTTAATTGTCTGGAATTATTGAACTTACCCTTAACCCTGAAATGAACATGTTGGCACTGTAGTTTGTGGACGAAATAATGGAACATCTTTTGTTTTTTGAGCAAAATTCATATATAAATATGGCTACAGAGCATGTTTACATTATAGGTGATGTCAATTCGTAATGAGAACACTAATCTTTAACCCTTGAGTGATCAGTCCGAACTAGGACTCAGAAAAACCTCTTTTAATTCTTTTACAGGTTTGAAAAGATGGAAAATCTGTATCTGTATTACAAGTTCATATATCGTTATTGTTTTGGTGTACAGTCAGAGTAATCTATAGAAGACAATTATAGGTTTACTAATTGTGTAAAATTAGTTTACACTTTACAATATTATTGTTTTCTTTCCCATAAAATGCCCATTTATAAAAGATGTTTTATTGCAAACTTGCTGGGAATTCGTAACGGTTATTACCATAATATGACTAACTTAGGTCATTAAGTTCAACAAACATAAAAAGTAATCATGAAGATAGATGTGTTTTGTTAAGCTTTTCTAGTTCAATGTAACACTCACAAACAAAGTGGTAATTTTTAAAAATTAAAGTATTCACTTCTTTGTCCAGATAACGTCACTAAAATTTTGTCTTGAAACTCAACACATTAGTTCTTACATTTCGTCACTTTTAATGTAACAGGAAAGCAACAGTTTTCGGTAACTGTATGTATACCAAATTGTTGAGAATCATGATATTTACATGCATACGATATTTTCTTTCATTATATTCACCTAATTACTTCACTATTCTTTTTCTTGTTATGTTTGCAAGATTTTAATTATTACAGGAAATTGATTATATATAGATAGATAAATGTCTATAAACTCAGTGTAAAATATCAACTTTAATTTACTTTACTTTTTCTTTTCAATTCAAAATAGACATGTATTAATCCAATAGAATCATGCGTTAAAGTATTCGATGGATACTATATTGAAGTGATAGCTCTTCTCATCGTTGGTTCAATATTATTTGTATTGTTCTTTTATCCAAAAGCAAAATATTTGCAAAGTTTACCAGTAACGAAATTTTATTACAATCCAACTACTGATGAATACAGTTGTTTTGGTCGTAAATTTAACTGTTGTCGTAAAACGGAAAATCAGTCATTAGATATAACTGATAATTTTGGAAGTATGGAAAACAATACTGATACTACTAGTAATGCTGCTGTTGCTACTACTACTACTACTAATAATAATAATAATAATAATAATGATAATAACAGTAATAATAATAATAATGGTGAAACCAAATTACTTTTGAACAATTAACATATATATATATATGGCCACTGATTATTTTTTTATTCATTTATTACCAAGATGGATATTTTCATAACCATGGTGAATTTTTATATTCGGTTACTAATATTTTCTACTTATAAAGAACGATTTGAGCATTTTATCCTTTTTTAAATTATTTGTGAAAAAAATTAAATTTAAAGATACTTTTCTTCTTTCTTAAAAGAAATAGATAAACAAAAAAAAACAGAACTGTCATCTATTTTGTGTCGCAGATATTCTTATTTTGTAAACTAATATGCAAACTTGTTTACTTATATTTTCATTATGCATAAATGATTCGTGAAAAATATTATCCTATTAGGAATGAATGATGATAACCGTTACTTAATGAAGAAAAGGAGATGAAGTATGTTTAGTGTTGTGTTCTTACTGTTTTCTTGATTATTGTTTTTTGTTGTATTCGAAATGTTTTGTTTCTGTTCAGTTGGTTGGATATATGAGATCACGAAATCAATAACTGTCATATGTTTTCATATGCAAATGGAAGAAACAATGATGCACAGAGAGAGAGAGTGAGAATGAGAGTGAGTAGTGATATACAACGTAACTTTTGATTTCTAAATTTGCAGCGCAATATGATTGTTATTTTTATAATGATTTTGTACTTATCTACAGTCAGTTTGTATACAACTAACGATATATAAAGTTGAGTTAAATAAATTTGAATGAATGAATCTGGAATCTTTTAATTGGTGGATGTGTTTGAATGTTCCGTTGATGAACCGTTTCATACAATAAATACCGTCTTCCAAATTAAGAATTTTAATTGTTCGACAAACTGTCTGCAATTTTCAGTTGAAAATAAGTTTCTTACGTTTTGGAAAATAATTGTTTACCCAAAATTTCCAAAAAAATATATATATTAAGATACCGAGAAAATGAATTTAAACTGTTTTACAAGTTGAGTATTCACACTAATCGAGTAAGAATAAACTTTAATATGTACTATTGTTATCGATTATATTTTGAATACTGAGTAACAGTTAAAGCCAGAACGCTCATTTCATCATATATGGAACTCGTCGATTAGAAGTATTGACATTTCACTGTAGGTGTCGAAACTGAGATTTGGACTCAATGCTCATCGCTTCAAAACGAATGGATAGAACAAAATTTTTGTTGTTCCTGGCAATATTCTTAGGTTTTGTATTCCGTCTAAGTAACTATTGGACGAAAACTTTCGAAACTCTTGTTTGTTCAAAGATGATGAACTTACAGAAAACACAAGAAAGCGTTTCCCATAGGTTTTGGACTGAACTGAGGTAAATAAACCTAGTGTAATTGGATTCGAAACCGTAAGTCGTAAATTGCTGTATCGGAAATGTGTGTTTGTCAGTAAAAATCGTGCCTCAAAGGAATTACCAAAGGTTTGTGATGCTTACTGAAGTCGTACATTTCCTGCTCACCCATCGCATTGAAATTAATCAGAATATGAAATTCAAAGACATAATGGTATACCAGTCGATGTTGCAGAAGCAGAAGAACATGAGATACCATATAATTATATAATTAGTATACATTCTGAACTGAAAAGATGCGATTTATCTGGAATGGAGTACTATCAAAAGGAACAATAAAATGGAACGAGGCTTTCAAACGTTGAATAATAAGTTTCCAAGGTGTCGATAAGCTGTCAATAGCACAGTCAGAAGGGAAATGAATCGTTCAGATGATTGGATAATAATAATAACTACGATACCTATCAAAAACAACACAAGTCCGTCAAACATACGCGCAATTAATAACATAAATCAAGCTCTATGAATTAAAAATTGCCGAGCTTCCCAGGTTAATCTACGTTTCAATCAGTTGTATACATGATACAGAATAATTAATAAGATAGGAAAAATGTAACAATACAAGTAGGAAACGCGATTAAAATATCGGATATAAATGCGTATGATTCCCAAGTCTCGTAACGATTGATATTGATATAAGTTACGGAATAATAATATAGTGTGGTAAACCGGGGAAAAATGAAGTTAATGCTGAACAGATATAACAATATATGTTTGTATGGACGAATAGAGTTGTCTAGGATAGAAGAAAACCACTAGGTTTCCAAAGGTGGTGGTCTAACATCAATCGGTTTATGATCTCAATCAGAAAATATTATTAATTGATGGTATGTGTGTATAGTAGACAAAAAAATGGTTAAACTAGAAGGATAATGAGGGTTATTTATGATAAATAATCTTATCAGGTCCTTTTTGAACTGAGAAATGTGTATGATGTAATTTTCTAACCGGATGAAAAGTGTTTCTGGAAAATAAGAAGTTTTGTAAAATCGTGACGTTAATTTTTTGTTTTGGTATCTAATTCAATGAAGTCATATAATTTTAAGTTATGAACCACTACTTAATTGTGTAAACCACAAAATAGTTTGTTATGATTTTGTGCTTTATTTTCATGAATGACCGTGTACACGGTTAAGTTTTGCTCATAAGTTAAACATACTTATAATACTTACTAATGATCATTTTGTTGATGTGAACTTATCATAGATTTTTGTAGGTTGATGAATAAGTTTTAACAAATAAGATACCTACATTTGTGATGGACAATGTTTTTGTGTTCAATATAACAACATGAAAGTATGCTGTCCTTTTTAATAAAACAAAATAAATAATTCACTCAATAGTTTCCACTAAAACGCCTTAACAGTTCTGTCCTCATACTTGGGATCACAATGTGCATATCATGATCAATACTTGTAGAAGACAAAATGAGCATGTAGAGTTGAAGTGTATGAAGAATACATATTATCAATAGTAAGGAAACAAAGAAGTAATCTTCAATACATAGTTGATTTCCAAACAAACAAAATAACAACAGTAATTTTTGTTCATTATAGTAAAAATAAACAGAAGTGTATAAAATGCTGGAAATGTTCAAGTTGATAATAATGCCGTTCTAGCGGCAAGAATCTTGTTAACTGATCTTAAAGAAATATATGGTAATCGTGCACCAGGTAATGCGATTAATTTACAACTAGTATTGATTTTGATCTCCCTATTGTAGCATATTCGGATAATTAAAGCAGAGGACATTATTGAGATAACCGTTGGAAGACATACACTGAGAGTAAACCAAATGTACATTAAATTTTCATTATAAAAATACTGGGTGCAGATTTCTTCCGAGAATTTTAGGAACGCGTTGTTTGCTAATAAAGTTATGGAAAATATAAATATGGCTTGAATAACTGTAGTCATCTTCATGTTCACAATCCGTATGTAAGTTCGGCCGACTAGAATGAGAGTATCAAAGCATAGTAGAGCAAAAGCACAAGTTGAAATGTCTGATGAAATACCATGCAAAAATGTGTGTGAGCGGCAGAACGTTTCTCCATATTTAACACGAAGATCAACTCTACATAATGATAGGTATGTAATTCTAACCTTATCTGTTAGGTGAATAATGAAACCAATCATAATTACAAATATTTGAACCTTTGCTGAGAATCTAAGAGGACATTTCGGCCAATCCAGCCATAATTTTCGCGATCAAACATCTTTATGGTTTTGATAATTTAACTTTCTTAAATGCCAACCAAACAAGTAAGCTATCCATGCGGAACCAATGAACAAATGTGAAAGTATCCTCATTATTCCAATGACACCAATCATCATACCAAATAACGTGGGTAAATCATTCATTATTTTTCATAAAGTTAGATAACCAGTTTTTGTTCACTCGCTTTCGTTTGAATTAACTTAGTTGGCTTTCCGTAGTAGTTGAATTCTTAAAACTATACCATGGGAACGATGCATCAAACAAGATAATTTTTCAAAATATATCTCCTGTAAACTCTTGACCAACCATAATGGAATTTCCCGATGGTGGTATGTATACAGAAACTTGTTTGAATAGTAAACGGTTAACTCCTAAATTATTGGTTGGTGTGTGTAGTGGATAATTTTTTCTGTGTTGGCGTAGTATCACGTAATGTTTCATTTAGTTGGATAATTATATTGTGGCTAAAGAAAATTTATGGATGTATTTCAATTGAATTCACTCAATCAAACCTAGGCATTTTACAGTAAAATCTGTCGTGACATTTAATTCGCAGCTATATTTGTTTTACATTTAGGTAGAAAGTTGGCACAATTTTGTTGGCTATATTTTTATCAACAAACTGAACTGATTTCTTAGTAGCTGTCTCCCCCCATCCTCAAAAAAGGACAAAATCACCTAATAAGCAAAAGGAATTTAGGCAATATTTGACGCGGCTAGACACAAACTGTAGAGAGGTATATAAATGACAAGTATTCACTTTATAAATGATTGTATGGTTTTAGTGTTTTTTTGTTGTTGACAGAATGTAATGGATTTTCATTAGTATTAGGAGTGTTTATAAAGTCATAGTCCGATATCAATTTACATACCGCTGAATCGCTGCATCCACTTCCCAGTAATTTCTTACCTAATTAATACTTTGGCTTCAACTCTGATGTTCAGACCGAAAAACACAATTTTTCGCCCATTTTCGAAAGTCTGTATGCCTTTACTTGTTAACTTCGGATATCACTCACTATTATTCCAGCATTCTTTCATTTTTTCTACATCTTTTTCTGTACATTTAGTTGCTACATCCACCCCTCGGTAATTTCTTACCTAATTTATACTTTGGTTACAACCCTGTTGATTTTTTAATAACTGGAATTATTCTAAGATACCATTTACATACCGGTAAATTGAGTACATTTTAGCTGTATTTATAGTTAAACTTTTATCCAGTCTTAATTACATACACATATCATATTAGCTTAAAGCATCATATCTAAAGAAGTATGACTTCCATCTTAATTACCTTCGTTAAGGTCAAGCAAAAATAGCATCTAAATTAATCAATCATTACCAATCTTATTGACATTGATAAAGTGAATGTTTTTCAAACACAGGAATTTAAACAGATTATCTTTAGCTTTTTGAACTTCTCACTTGGCAATCCTCCAAGTTGTAGAAATCGATTTGTGTGTTGGATTTTAAAGTAGACAAAACTAGACACTTATTTTCCTTAGCTATGTGTAGTCATGAGTAATAATATGATTTTCGGACAGTTGACGTTGTATCCGGAGATTGCTTTTCATTTAGTAAAACGTTTAACGTCATTCTTAAGTCGGTAGCCGGATTCCACATATTATCTCTGGTTTTGCTTCCCAACATATGTATTGCACTTAACCGATGGTCTTAATCATAGTTTTTTGAAATTAGCACACAATCGAAAAGTGATTGCTATGCTCTGCATCTTTGAAGGCCACTGTACCATGCAACTGTTTACAAAGGTTGTAGGTCAGATTTTCTTTTCCAAATATTACTAACAGCTTTTGCATGAAGTCTAAGGGTCGAATTGCAAAAGAAAAGTGGCTGTTATTACTATTTGGGATGTAGGTACAAAATATGCATACAATATACTCTAGTTTCTACTGACAACATCGCTGATTTTCCTACTTTCATTGTAATTAGACAAGCATTTTCATAAACTATATACTAGAATGTCTAATGATATGAGCTTTGCTCTACCTTTAATTGTGGAAGCCAGGTAGTTTGACTATCTCATAGGAAACCGAGTACAAAAGTCTATGTATTCACTAGTATATACATATATAAACTCTGATACGTGGTACTTATGCATAATGTCATAGGAGTTATTGGTCATCAATTTGTCAATTTGTTTCGGATTTTATTCAAGTAAAAAGACTAAATCTTGCTGTAATAAACTAAAGTCCTCTAATGGAGTGGTGACTCTGTAGTTAAAGCACGCTTTATTCAACTAGTAGATTTCCGATTCGAATCCCTCTTTATCTACTTCAGTTTAGGGCAGTCGAACAGTTACTTAAAAAAAGTATATGAACTTGTACAAAGAAAATTGATTGGTAATACCTTAACCTATTTCTCGAACCTTAACTTGAGATTAATATTAACTACAGCCTAATACCAACTATATAATCGTCAAAGTATTAGACACAGAAAAAATATTTTGTCCTAGTTGATTACTCAAAATTAAACACCATTGCCCTCAAAAGGAATCAAGTTTTCTGAACTCTTGAGGACTATAAAATCATTGATCCACTTAACTCAATTCAAGTAACCATCATTCAATGCCATTAATAGTTAATTACCTTACATTAAATTTTACTGGCTTCACTGACTAAAATTCCATCTTGGATATTGTCACTGGTAGCCACCATGCTTTCGTTTAATAAAAGGGTCTTCTAAAAAATCGTTCCAGTTTGGTCAAGCTAACAGTGTCACAGCCCTTACACAAACCGTGATTTGAAATATAGAATGCAGATAATTAGCTCCGAAAAGTCACAAGCTTTTCGTAACTACAAACAAGCTTACTGTGAACTATATCACTGCCCTATTTTATTTTTTTGCCTTAATTTTATTATTCATCTTATTCAATAGCTTGTCTCACCCGAAAGTCCTGACTTGTTTGATCGCTTTCTTAAATTTTCCATCAGCGTTAAATCATAAGGTGTCTTACGTATTTAATGTGATAGTCAGTCAGTCACAACGTAGAATCTGTACGTATATACATTGGTTCGAGTTTCCATACGCCATTACCACTGAGATGAATTTGTCAGGTCAAATCCTGGAATAGTATAGGTAATAAAAGTATCAGTGGCAAGAGAGAATATTAGGCATCAAAGATACAACGCGAAAAGAAAATATACCTTAACAAAGTAAAAACAAAAAACCCTCTGAGGAATTTAGAATCTTAGGATTTAGGGGAATACAAAGAATGGATGCACCTGCGCCATTGCAAGCAATTTTGAGCCATTCCATTCAAAGTCTCTATTGGTTGCGATAACTACTAATCCCAACCAGGTAGTCTGTACCCATGAAAATAGCTAAGTCCAATTGTCAATGACTTCATGGACAAACGCTATGTTTTGGTTTGGCCGCCCCTAGTTTCAACCTGCTCCTGCACCAGAAAACATCGCCCGACCTAATATGATGGATTTCTTGTGTTCCAGTTAACGTCACAGATGAGATGACACTGAGCCACTCATTTGGAACATTTTTTGCTTCAATAATATTGATTGGTTTTCAGATAGTAAACTAATCACTGATAGGAACTTTATTATGTTTATCCACTGAAGACTAATTAAGTTCACTATCTGTTCAGTATGATATATATACAAATATCCAAGATATAAGGCGTTTGCTACCAGAATATTCAACAATAAATGATATTTACAGTGTTGTACGATTCTCTGTTTATGGTTGGAATTCATCGTTATTTCTTCCGTGAACTTTTAAATTAAGCTAGTAATCTATTTTCTGTTGATATCAGCTGATTTGTTTTTATAATTGTTTCAGGTATGGCCCGAATAATTCGTGTCTTCTATCCAATGGTCTAGATAGTGTTGAGAAGAGTCATTCATCTCGTGATTCCTTATTTAAAAGTCAGCGTGACTATGAAAGACATTTAGTTGAATTTCATCTTCTAAAACATCCTGTATACAAACATCCGGATGTAAAATCTCCGCTTCCAATACCTCCCATTTCTTCCCACTATAATGGTAAATTTGTTTCATCAACTGTAAATGTTATTTCAGGGTTCTTTATTTATTCCTTCTTTGTTTTATTCTCAAAAGATGATTATATTTTTAAAACCACTTCGTCAGGTTTACAGTGAAGAGCAGTTAATGGGTTTCTAATTAAGAGTAATACAATACGCTCATAACGAACATCATTCATTTAGTAATAGAAACATACATTCAACTAGCCAACCTCCATTTATGAAGTTATCTTAAATATTCTAGCTTTCAGAATACGGTTAATTAAATAATGCTGTTTTATACAATCCAAGGATGATAGTTTCGTACACACAGGAAGCAACTTTCATCTAATAATCCAGCAATCATTAGTTTTTAGTGGATTTTATCTTTTTTCTTATAAACTATTACGTAAACCAGAAGTTTGGTTTATAAACATTTCTGTTATGTTTATAATTTGTGTTCAAACTCATGTATGTGTAAACCTTTTGCTCGTTTCACTTACAAATTTCAATGAGCTGTCTCGCACTTTTTAGATTAATTTGTTCTAATATTTAATATTTCTACAATCAAAATTGTGATTATTTTGGTCAATTTATCGTCCGTTTAGTAATCCCACGTCAGCATATCAATGATTTCTACAAATTTCTAGGCCGTAATCTCACATAAGTTTTACAATAGGATGACTATATCTTCATAACTTCTCTAGTAAAACCACTAAGTAAAAAGTCATAACAATTTAAATCTACACATTTAAAACTAACCGTGACACTTCATCAGATATAAGAAATAATAGAAAAATCAACCAACACAGTAAATGATCTTTTGATGTCAAAACAAAGGATATTCATTTTAACCCAGGTACAGATGATAACAGTAAAATTCTCAACGAAATTTTCAGAAAATCTTCAGGAATAAATAAAATAATCGAAGTTTAAATAAATAATGTAGTGATTACCACATCTCACTGTCCATTCAATGAGAAACCACACTTACAATTCTGGAATTACCATGTGTTAGCTTAATTTATCTGTTAGGTTTCACTGAAAACCATATCTAGACTGACGTTAAAACTTTGCACATATTAAAAATCAAGTTAGTAACTACCACTGTATATATAATCTGTTTAAAGGGCTAATAGTATAAGCGATTAGTGCGTTGGCGTTTTGACTACTTTAATATGTTTTTTTCTCTCTTCTGTACCAGAGAAACCATCACGCAAATGGAGTGTATACCAATCAGTTGTGAATTTACCAGCTGTTTTAAATGATCCAAATTATCGTGAGGTAAATTTTTTAAATGGTTGTTCAAAAAATTGGGATTTGTATTAAATTCTATTGGTTTTATTGATTTTCCAATCACTCGTGAGAGTTGGATTAAGTACAATTTATGGTGTAATTTTTTCAGGTCACCACTGTTGGTTAATAAGATTTGTCCAGAAAAATGACCGATCGGTATAGTTTATTTCTTTAAGCTTCATAAAATGTGCATCATTTGAAATAATCACAACACAGAAAATATATGCAAAGTATAATGCTAATCAGAAAAAGGGTAACTACTGTCTAAACTAAATTTTAAACGTTTTCAATTCTTTTTCGGAAATGATGAAAAGATTTGTAGCTCATATGAATACTTTCAGTGTTGTGGAGTTGTCTGAGATAGATAGTTTGACTGCGGACATTTCACTGTCGATCTGAACAACATCAGGTGCTACTTCATTTACAAGTGAGCTTCTTATTTATTCCAGAAGTGTTGAATCAGTTTGTTATGATGGTCTTGTTTGCGACTGGTTATCTCCGTAGGTTTCGTTGTCTTCATTTGTCCATGCATCTTCGTCAGCTGTCTTGTTTGGTCAACCTCTGACCATGGTGTTGATTTAAGTTTGTCGTATGGATTGATAGTTCGGATCTGTATCGATGTATCTGTCGACTTCCAATTGACCTGGATCCCATACGTGTAAAAACCCACTGGGATTCTCAGAATACTTTCAATCCTAAATTCCAACATTTTCTAAGTAAAATTCATTTACTCTATTTTAACACATAAACATTGGTACAAGGGGGCACCAAATACATGTACACCACACAATAACAATGAAATTGAAGAAACAGAATGTTAATTGCGTATAATAAAAAAAGGATAACGGACAGAAATTAGTGTATGAGAGTGAAATAATAATGGAAGAAACAGTTCAGTTAGGAAAAATACAACCAGAAAGCAGTTGCGTTCATTTTTATGAAGAAAGTTACAGCAGGGCCGTCACTGTCTTCTATTCTGAGCCATGTCTGTTAAAGTCTCCAGCCACTATGTTGCACGATCTCTATGACGCCAACCATGGAATCGTGAGGGTCCAACAGAAGCCAGTCCTGTACAGCTTTCTTTCATACCACGACACCATGTCGTACACTGACTATCTCGACGCTTTTTCCAACCGGCCCGAGCGTCGGCAAATAATTCACGATGTGGAGGAACAGAGTCCTGTCAGTTTTATGAAAGTACTTTTCACTTGGAAGGTACAAAGCACATGCCATACATACGGAAACTGATTGCCAACTGGCTGAGTGCGGATTGGATGGCTTGGGTATCATCGCACAGTAAGACAATATCATTCGCATACACCATGTCGAAAATTCTTTCTCCAGACGACAGATCCGCACCACCATTACCTACATCCACCAGAGCTGTTTTCAGAACGTCATTGATGGCGAAGTTGAGGAGGAATGGTGAGGTTGGTAAACCCTGCTTATCGATATCAGTAGCATACACCACAGCGTCACTAATGCCAAGAAATACTACGGTAGTCGACCTGTGATAAGTATGACGGTGTTTTAAAACTTGTCGGAGGGTGGAGATATGATCAATACATCCTCGATCTGAACAAATGCCATCCTGCTCCTCGCGAGTCAATCTTTCTCGGGTTTTGAACAACCTACGAAATATGAAGTAAGCCAATAGTTTGGACGCGATCGGAAGTAGACTTGTCCTCTTTTGGTTTTTGCAGAAACGATGTGAACCCTTTCTAAAGATAGGAGGAACTATCGACTCATTGCATGATGTTGAAACACCCTCTAATTGCCAGACCTTTGTAAACAACTCAGTCATTTTCTTAACCAGAAGGTCGCCACGATCCTTAAAAAGGGACGGAGCAAGTCATATGGGTCTGTTGATTTGTGGTGCTTCAAGAGTTGAAGTTTCTTTATAGACTTCCATCTTGTTGGGTGGACCAGTCATCACAGGCCATGGAGAGCAGGACAGTCAGATCGATGTTGCCAGGGCAGCGAACCGGTTGAACTGCTCCGCGAAAAACTCTGCCCATCATCCAAGATATCGATAGATGTTAATGATCGGTATCTCGTCATCTTTACAGGTTGTTTTACTCACTCCAGACTTGTCGCTGCCAGTGACTCGGATGGGTTGAGAGATCTTCCGGCGGTCACCAGATGCAGCTACTGCTCCCAACTCGTTGGCATGCACCTACCACTAGGTTCTCGGTCCTTTCGCAAGCTTTGCACAAATTTACCACGTAAAAGTCTTCGTCTGTGGTCAAACTCGTTGTCACTCGGAGTAGACCGACGAACTTCACTGAGTTGTAAGGAGCGTGAAGAAACCCAGTGCCTATAAGCGGGACGTTTCGCGAAGCGTTATGCGACTTTACTCGCCATTTTCATGTCATGCGATTGCAACCACTACTCATCCATACATTTCAGTGGGCTGGTAGCTAGCCTTGAACCTAGCTCTGTTTGATATTTCGTTGCAACAACAGCTGCAACCAATTTGCTGAGATTGATTCGTTTCGGACGATGAATTTGTTGGAATGTGAGGTAAGATTAGCGCAAAGAAGGGCATGATTAGAGTTCAGATAGGTACTCCAAAAAGGAGCAGTAGTCTTTTACACAACCACAGCAGGTGTATCTGATGGCGGTGTGGTCAATTTGAGTTCAGGTTTGTGATGCAGAGGTAGGATGCTGGGTAGCACATCGGCGATTACTGTGTCAGTAGTGCGAGCTAGCCAGAAACAGATTGTAGTCTGCGCACAGTTGCTGTAGACAGTCACGGCTATCCGACTTATGGCCAACAAGTCCCCATAGGCCATCTAATCGGTTCTCTTTTGTGCCTAGATGCCCGACCTGAGCATCCAGTTCTCCGGCTAGTACTACGGTGTTTATTGAACATACTTTGTGGAGAACATTTGACCAATGGAAGGACTCATCCTTGATTGCATCCGGCCTGCAATCTTCTGGGCTGTAGGCGATAACGAACAGCATTATTTCTCAAACTGGTTTCTTTTTAATTTGATGGAACTTCCTATTTTAACAGCACATAATCGATTGTTAATGGGGATGTAACCAATTAGTGTTGCTCCAGGTCTAGTCCTTAGAGCGACACCAATGCCAGCGAAACCAGACGAGAATGCCACATAGTTCTAGGATAATTACTTGTAAAACAGGCTCTTTAAATCGATATTTATTTGTTTAAATACATAAACATTGATACAAGGAAGCACCAGATAGATATGCGCAACATAAATCATTCGATTAGTGTGAGGGCTGTTATATTACCCGGGTGCCCAAACCGACGCAGGTTTTATGGCGATAGATGGAGAGAGATTTTGTAGTACTTCACTAAAGTCTTGAATACGGCTCTCGGATAGGAACCTGACATCGATATTAAGATTTTCTAAAGAAATAGTCAACCCTATTTGTGGTTCGGTATGCATTAATGGGCGAACGTTGATGTAGATCAGTTTGAATAGTACACGTGGTTTCACAAAGACTGTTTCAGTATTCGTAGTCTGTGGTAGCATTCAATTTTCTATCAGCCAGTGACTTGAGATTGTTCAGATTAGGACAGGGTTTCTACCATAGGCGGACTGTTGTATAAGTTGAAAAATAAAATACGCGAAATGAGAATAAAGGGGAGTGACTTAGTATAAAGGAAATAAAAAGGAATCTTTTCATATAATCGTGAATGAGGTTTGTCTGAGCGAGCTTTGAAGCAAGAGAAGTTTTTCCACTAGTAGTTATCATTGATTTGTATTAGGGATGTGATACTGCCCATTCTTTATGATGGTGATTCTTACGGCCGAAAACCATCTGGCAATAAAGTTGGTGCTTCTCTAATCCATTCCCAGTTGTTCTCTGTAATAGTTTACTCTTCATTGAACAGATCTTGTAAGGCTTTGAACCTGTTGCTGATAGCTCTCTTGTATCCTCAGGTTTTGTAATTATCTCGAAGGAATGCTATATTGAACCTTTGTAATGCTGTTTCTCCAGTTATCCACTGCTCTTTAAGCTTCAATTTTATCTTGACCACTACCAAGTGGTGATCTGAAGCTATGTCAGCTACTCTCTTTTTTCTCACGTCTTCTATTGAATACTAAACATTTGAGTGATGCAAATTTGATCGATCTGCTTCTCTGTATTGCTATCCTGTGAGACTCATATAGTATTGTGTATGCGTACCTTAAAACCAAATTAACTTTCGAAAAATCAATTTCTTAGTGTCATCATAGTTATTAATTGTTTGAACTTAATTATATTATTCATTTCTCTGATGAGCATTTATCACATGATATACATTCTAAACTCCATTAAATGTGTTTTCCACACTATTCGCCTGCTTATATATATACTCAACTTGAAATATAACATGAGCAAAGTGGTTTGTGAAAATTTACTTCATATGTGTATATTTTGCTTTCTACTTTATCTAGAAAAAAAGTGAACAAATTCTAATTGCTTACCGTCCTTTTATGTCTAAGTGCATGATTTTCAGAGAGATTTAACAAAAATTACTGGAAACAGTTTGTCTTGAATGAAATTTACTATCTATGAACATAAGTGTTAATCTAAAACTACACGTTCAGTGAGATTAGGCTTTTATTTATTTTCATTGCGTGTAAAGTAAAGATTCTTTTTTCAGTCACTCATTCTTTGCTTTCTTAATCATAAACGATTGAGAATTTGTCAGTTCAAGCTCCCGTATTTCATGGCAGTTAACACAGCTAGGAGTGCGACAAAGGTATGCAGTTTGAGATCCTACAGAGGTATCGATACACTTCATTGATGAGCTCCGACTATAGTCTAAAAAATGATATCAATGTTAATCTAATCTATACGTATTAAAAGTACTTCAGAATGTAAGAATGTAGTTAGGTGATACAAAGTATCTAATAATAATGCTGAGCTGAGTCATTAGAGAAAGATAAAGACTAGATAAGTATTCTATATGATTGCGAATGTTTATTTATGAAGCTGCTTGTAGTGTAGTTTGTCTTAAGTGTTAACTCTCCACATACTCACTTTTTTTGTGGTGGACTTATTGACTGCATATTTGACGAATTGGAATTTTTAAGACAGTATATATACTGTTTATTTGTGCCTTTAAATCTTTAGTTAGATAATTAGTTGTCAGCACATAAAATGATCAATCAAGTCTCGTTTCATGTTGTTGTGTAGTAGATGAAAACTGAGGTTCGATAAACTAATTTATTGTTCTATTCATAAACATATGGTGCCTTTATAAAATATGAAAATCATACATTAAATATGTCATTTTCACATTTCTCTTGAGTTGTCCTTTACATATTTCATCAATTTTCCACTGCTGTTGTTATATATTGTATAGAAGAAATATTTTATTAGTTATCTTTTTTAAATTATACATAATTACGGGTTAATTTATTTCCAATTTTTAAACATATTTGTCATTTTTATTCCATCATTATCAGAAAGATATATTTACAAAATTATGGGGTGATAAATTTGAAAATGCTGAAGTTCTACCCAGTCCACATCTACCAGTAATTACAGAGAAACATTTTATAGAATATTTAAACAAAATTGGGGTTCGTAAACTCGATACAGAGTCGTGTAAATCATCGCCTAATTGTCAAATTAATTCATCTAATTCAATCACTGATATTTCTCTATCAGTGAAATTATGCAATAAAGGTGTGTAATTTTTTTTTACAATAAATGTTTCTGATATACTCATTGAAAGTTATTTAATTACGAATAAATTAAATAAATATTGTCTATTCCTTGTACTTATCAATGAGTCACGTGTTATTTTATGATTTACCAAGTCAGTTGTGATTCTGTGAATGCTACTATTGTACGACGTATTTACTGTCGAAGTATCAACATGTATTCTCAATCTATTTGAAAATGATTATCGAAACGATGATTATTTACTTTTACAGTGATTGTGCGGCTTACCACAAATATTTCAAAAGAATATTTATTGTTTATAGCTGTTTATTTGCATTATTGTATGTGCACATAGTTTGTTTTATAAAATAGCTTTAATTATAAGAAGTTTTTGTATTAATGGAAAGTTATTTGTATTTACAAGACTTGAATGTCTCAGTGTTTCAGATAACCCACATCCTTACGCGTCAGAATTGTTGTCAGGACAAGCTTATAGTGGCGATATATGTGTCTACAAAAAAACAACTTAATGTAGACATACATTAATACAACCAAAGCTCAGAGGTATTGCCGCGAAATTTCAGTCTTTTTTAATATGGAACAAAAATCTGGTTACTTTCAATAGTGGGTTAATAAATAACATTAAACCCATTAAGGATTAAACTCTACTGTCAACACATTTCTCCGACCGAATTCTTCAAAAGTCAACTCTCGACATTACCTCTACCCTTCTATTTCTTGTGTAAGTGCAAACATCATAGCTGTCATATACTGTGTCGATGAAGCTAATAGATTTAGTAGACCGGATGATATAATTTTCGTGAGAACTTCTTGAGTAGTTACTGTTATGTAATATAATCCTGTAGACTATGGAGTGTTATTTGGAGGTATACGATAATGTTAGGTTTAGCAATAACAAATTGCTTGTCAAGTAACTTGGTTTTTAAACTTTCTTCAACAAATTTCATTTTTTACATAATCGGTATGGGGATTTGTGGAGGTTGTGGTGTTCTTACCGTTGAAATCACGAGTCTATCTAAGCTAGACCACTTGGAAGCACTGGACGACCGTTTAGTCATATTATGAGACCTCAGCAGTGTTCATCCACCATTCCGCACGTAAGATCAGGTTGCGCAAGATCATGGGTTGGTGGAAGTTAGACATTAACACTGTTGGATACTGACTCAGTCGACTAAACCGAAGGTCCTGGGTTCGAGTCACGCCTGAAGGATGTCCTATACTAGAACAAAACGGTCACTCAATGCTTCCAGGTTTTCAGTGGTGGTATAGCTTAGATCGACTCGTGATTTCAGCTGTAAAATCCTTTATTCTACACAAGTCCTCATACTGATCATAATCATGTACACACCAGTGACTAACTTCAAGATGTAACTCATGGAGTTCTAGTGAGAAGCAGTGACCAGTCCAGTCCAACCCGTGTCGAGTGTGAGAATGTTGTTGACCTCAGTCAATGAATGAAGGGCTGCGCAAGATCAAGAATTGATTACATTAACAATTTTGTTGTTTATACTTTAAAAAATACGAATTAAAAATCTTCTGTACATTTTTAGTAATTTGATTTTTCTTATATATATTAGTTTTAAAACATGAACCATCGCATGATATATCAACGACTTCCATTCCCGCTTATACTTTGATCAAAATTTCAATTTGAAAGATGAAAAGACGTTTTGTCAAGTTATACCCTTACATGTCCGTCGTTCTCACATTCAAAATGTTCGAAACCCGTTTGAAAATATCGTTTTCCCATCAAGTAAACCAGATTCTGTAAATATTTCAAATCGATTAAACTATCCCAATGAAGAATTCCTGCAAAAAGAAGCTTTCCGCAATCAGCATAATCAATTGGTTAATTATTTGGATATTATTGAGTTAAATATAGTTGAACAGGTAAATATGTATACTCTTATTGTTTTACTAATTCAAATATCATAACCGCCTTCGAAGCGTTGCTCGTCTATGTCGTGGCCATTGAGTTAGCAATGAGTGGTACTAGATAAAGATTAATGAGGTAGTGAATATTCATCTTATACCCATCCACCGACATGCAATTATGGCTGATGTAGGATTGGGTTGAAAGAAAGCTTTGGTTAACCAAACCCAGAAGTGGTATTAACTCCTGAAGACACCGACCGTCGAATTGAGCCGTGTTTGTAGGTCCCACAAATGCCCTGGTACGGCAAAGAGTGGGAGAGTCAGCTCTCCCTCATGAAATGCTCTCACATGGCCACGTGCGTATAACCACTACCAGGGAAGTCTTACTCACTGCCTTTTCGCGGCGAGGATGTTGTTTACGAAATTGAGAGGGCGAAAAGCAAATATCCGGCACTCAACCGGGTTAGTGAATATGAAGGATCCATCTAAGGGAGTTGGAAAACCCTGATTCCAAACTGATGGTGTACATAGGCTCCAGGATCTTGAGTGAATAAATGGCGTATGAAACAATTATTGGTCACCGGCTATCATGGGACCCATCTTCTGACGTTGCTCCACTACCTTGTGGATTAGACCTTTAGGTCGAAGGCTCTGGGTGTGGCCCCCTAAGAAAACCACCGGACAGTATCACGGTCCACACACAAATCAAGTGACTTGTGTGGCGCATATGTATTCGATGCCCCTTTGTACCAATACTTATGTGTTCAAATAAATATAAAATCTGTACGAGTGTATTTATTGTTCCATTCTTTTAATATTGTATATTGGTTATGAAGGAATACACTAGTATTATTCATTTTATTCTATTCTAATATATAGGTTTCCAGAAAATCTTCAACATTCTTTGAAGCTATCCAGTGTCATGATGTGATACGTGAAGATTTAAGTCAAGCTATTCGTCAAATTAAAGATTTTCGGTTAGTTTATGCAGTACATTTCATATCAATGTAAATACTAAAAACAGATAGCACATAGTTTCAGAATAAGTTTATTGAAATCATGCAGATCTATAGAACATGATAACATTCAGGTAAAATAAATAAGGGCGTAAAAACCTTATTTTTACTAATGAAATCAATAATAATAATCCTTGAAAAATTTCACTCAGTTGGTTTCTTTACTCTCACAGCCATCTGTTCCCCTTCTATCTTCTGCTCTATAGATCTTTTACCCTCAACTGATTTCTGTTTGTATTATCCTACCAACCACAGTTCAGCACAATTCCAACATTTTATCTGATCACACTGAACCTTTCCTTTCCAATTATAATTCTTTATCTACACAATGAATATTCAAGCTCTCAACAATAACATTATTTTAAATAAAGTTAAAAAACCACTGAAACAGAATAAGATGAATTCATTAATACGTGGTTTCTCATCAGCTGCTTACAACTATATATGTATTGAACTATAACATTGAGGTATGATATAATGTGATAACATTGATAACGGAATGAATTATAACAACAAGGTTTGTCAACAACGATTATATATATCTGTCTAGGATTAGGTATGAGGTCATTTGGACAGTTCGAAAAGCATAAGAGGGCGACAGGTGACACAGTAGTGAAGTCCGAAAATAGAAAGATCCTATCTATTGTGATAATTATAGAGGTTGTGAAGTGTTTGCTCAAGATGACTGGAATTAGAAATTGATAATTGAAGAGGATTTAAAGAGAAATAAATAAATGAAGGGATGATTTTGGTGTGCATGAAAAAAGAATTAGTTTAGCCAAGACCATATAATAAAATAAACACTAATAAGATAATCCTAATAATGACAATAACAAAAAATAATAATTTACTACTTCAGCAAACCAGAGAGATGCTGTTTTTTTTGTTTGCTAATAATTTTGAAGGATTGTGGAATGTCAATAGTATGCCTGGTATCAATTAAATGCCGAGCTATTGCGCTGTTTGGAACGTTCTCGGAAATGCGAACATGTACTCTCCTCTCTGTTTTTACAATATATGTGCTTTGACAAGCACATGTAAATTGGTAAATGTGCTTGGAGGTAGTAGGAAAATAGGACCTGTCAATTTATGTTAGAGTAAGTGAGAAGTTCATTTCGCCCAACGTCTTCAGTTTGTTGATGGATAAGCAATCTTCATCGTGGCATTTATTCTGTGATTAGTTATTCCATCGGCTGTTTTTTCTTAAGGAATCCTTGTGAAGAGAAATTCTTTTGAAAAAAAAGGTCGATATTAAATGAGAATATCTTGAACTCCTTCCTTTGCCAATTACTGAATTCAAACGGCCTTTTTTCAGGTGTATCAAAAATATACAATTTCAACTCAACAATGTGTTGTACTGGCAAATTGATGAAGTAGCCGTAGCGAATAAGTGAATGATTGCAAACTAATGGAGGAACATCAGAGAATTTGCATTCAGAAAAAATCTCATTACCTACCCCCTCATTTGTCTTACTGTTGAATTATGATACAAAACAAGGTTATTGGTTTCCTTCAAAAATCTAAACAAATCAAGAATAATAATATTTTCTTTATGCTCTAATTTCACTGTATTTTGTTGCATTCACTCTTCAGTTTCATACAAACTTGTATGTTTTATGATTTCCAAGCAATAACATTATGTTCACTTTTTGAAAGAAGGAATTATCATTAACGAATACGTTTTTTTAAAATATAAACGAAGTTAAGAATTCAATTTTTTACAAGTTTTTGAAGTTGGCTCAAGGAAAGCTTTTAAAATTCACCGATAAAGTTGAATTCTATCTGATTAAGTTTCGAAGAGGGCATAGCATTTAGGTCTTTCTATTTAAAAGGAGTCAGCCAGTGGTTAACTTTCAACTGACTTGGTAACGGAAGCGGCCTAAACATTGTGACTTCTTTTTTTCTCTCCTTGCAATTAATTATTATCACAATCTGCTGAGCTAAACTCATACATCCTCTTTTTAAACTTAGGAAAATTCTGTTATATTACACAATAATATATTCCAGAACTATTGTAGTGGACGCTAGTCACAAGATTGCTTGTATATAGCGTGTGGCGGAATGTGGCGTCGAAGTTGCAACAATTAATTGTCAGACGGAGTGAAGAGTTTCAGTACATCGGAAGCACGGGGTTAGCATAACACATGGGGATCAGACGAGTAGACTGTTAGAACGCGGGACACACCAAAAGATGTAAATGGAAAATTGAAGGCTATGCATATGTATTATATAAATACTTTGTAACTTTCACAATAAATACACATTCCTCCTCTGTACTACTTTTTCACATTATCAATCTAAAAAATTATTTGGCAAAAAACCATTTGAAAAATTTAATTGTTAACGTTTTTAACATTCTACAACGGTCTCTTTGTTGTTAATAGCTTCATTTGTAAGAAATCGAACATTATGTTAAATGATTGGAAATAATTAAACGTTTTAGTTTGGACGTAGCTGAAAAGTGTATTTTGCTAATATTGTCGTTCTTGCTTTGTTCAAAACACATGGCTATATATACTGGTATACATATTTTGTAGCATTCTGTGGTTGGATTTAAGAATGTCTTGCTTATTTTTTTGTACTATACATTTCATCCAGTGATGTAAAGTTAAGGATTTTGCTAAGTTGTATATGTAGGGAGAAATCTTTGTCAGCAACTTGTGTATACGTCAGTCGATATTCAAATAATTTGGTGAGATTCAATGCATCCTTATCAATAAATATTATACAAATTAACTTCAATTAGATCCAATTGTATGGAAACTCGAAAGTTACGACCGTTAGATGACGATTAACTTAATGTTTTACTGACATGGTGTCTATCTATAACTTATTTTCATATTTTTTTCTTTTGTGGAGAATGTTTTTCATGAATAACTGATCTACAAGCTATTTTTCATGCATTTGTCTTCAAATTCTAGACGTAAATTGCATGAAATTAATACATTGACTATAATTGACAAGATGAAATTGTTACGTGTTGTTAGAAGACGGGAAAACTATCGACTGGTTGTTAATAAGGTGAGTTATTCCTTTTTGGTTTCAGAATGTCGTCAGGTAGTGTTGTTTAGAGAAGATTAAATATTAATAAAGCAGTTAACTCGAAGTATATTGCTAGCTGCTGAAGCGTCAAATAGTTATTTTAAATTATGAATAACAGACATTAGTTAGTTCGTGGCTAGAGACTTCTAGGTGATGTAATTTGGTGTTGACAATAGCGATTCAAAAATCGTTCTAGAAAATCGAATATCATATCTTAGTATTATATTGGTGTTTAAATAAAGCTAGAACGAATATGAATGCAGAATAATACGAATTCATTATATTTAGTGGTTTCTCATCTGTTGCTTACAACCAAATATGTATTAAAATTTTACATTAAGGTAAAATATAGTATGAAACAGTTGAATTGCAATGATAAAGGTTATCGATAATATAATATAATATATATATGCAAGAACAGGTCGGTGATCATTTGGTGTGAGAATCAAGAAACATGAGGGGTGGGTGATGTAATAATTGAGTGAAGTTCAGAGACAGACAACATAAATTGTATGATAATTTTAAAGGTAATGAAGTTTGTAGAAGACCCCTAGAATTAAAAAAAAACTTGCAAGATGGGTTGCGTAGTAATTAAACAAGATTTGATGAGTTCACATAATTTAAGAGAATTGAGTGAGTGGAAATGTATAAGTGAAGGCGTGGTTTTCGGTAATGGAAGAGAAATATAACAAACTAAACATTAATAAAATAAAACTAATAACCGAAAATTGAATTAATAGAGTAGCAATAGGTTTATTGCTGTATCTTTTTGAATACATGGATCAGGTTTGAGTTTTTTTATCGCAATAGCTTCAGCAAACCGAACAGAAATAGTATTTCTTTGTCTGCTAATAATTTTGAAAGCTTGAGGAATGTCAGTAGCTCCAACTGCATTTACCAATTTACATGTACGTGCCAAAGCATATACATTGGAAGAACAGAGAGAAGAGTAAATGTTCGCATTTCCGAGCATGTTCCAAAGAAATCGAGACTGTGAGGGGCAATTGTTCTTAACAGTTCAATAACTCGACATTTACTTGACACCGGACATACCATTCACATTCCTCATGTTTTTAAAATTATTAATACTATCAATTGTTTCACACTATATCTTACTTCAATGTAAAATTTTAATACATATTTGGTTGTAAGCAGCAGATAAGAAACCATAAATATAATGAATTCGTATTATTCTGCATTCATGTTTGTTCTGGTGGCTTTATTTAAATTAATAAAGGTAACTAATTGCATGAAATTACATTGGTGTAATGTTTTTTTTTAAAAAATCCACTGTCCTGTATTTCTGTGTTAATAGTTCACGTTCCTTGCTCTATTCACTTAAATAGTGAAAAACTAAATTACTAATGATTAGCAAACCAATTCAAAACAGGATGAATAAAATGACATATTTTCAAAAGTATTAATAAACAAGTAGAAAGATTGTAATAATATGTTTGAAGGATCGTTAACAATAGAGTTGATTCAACTCACTACTTTGATTCTTTCATTTACTAAATAAAAATAAGATTGTTTTCTTTAGGACAGAAAGTATGATATTAATTTATGTCAGTTTATAACCATCATTATTGCTTTGTTACTTTGTTTAATTATGTATTGACTGTAATTACACTCTCAACATGTTTATATTTTCTGCTATTTGAATGTTTATTGATTTAATTATGACTATTTCTTGTGTTAAAATTAATTATGTTGTGAAGATTTATGGTTCTGTAATTGTAAAAATATCCCATATTCTATTAGTTTCTCTTACATACTCATTGTGAATAAATTGTGACGTTACTAAAGAGTGAATGTTAAAATAAACGTTCTCTTTTTGTAAAAAAAACCGTGTTTGACTATAGTTTCTGAATTGAACCGTCCAAGTTAATCTGTCAGCTAAAAACTACTGTAGTAATTTTACAAATATCCTGAAGAAATGAAATCGAGAGTGAAAAATCTACAGGAGAACTATAATTCAATCTGTAATAGGTGTCATTACCAGGTTTGATTTGATAATTTCGAATAAATTGAGCATTGGGTTGATTGTTATAAATAAAAATAATATATTTGTAATATCCCAATGAGTAGAAAATTGGATTTTTCTGACGTTTCGTGGCTTAGTGTAAGTCACTTCTTCAGAGAATAATAACCAAAATTTGGTTATTTATTCTCTGAAGAAGTGACTTACACTAAGCCACGAAACGTCAGAAAAATCCAATTTTCTACTCATTGGGATATTACAAATATATTATTTTTATTATATCAATCTGTAATAGTTTGGGTTATCCTGTAGTTTATATTTCGGCTGAATTAAGATCAGTTCAAGTTAACATGTGTGCATCCTGTGCGGATTACTTCGATATAAATATTGTGTCTCGTGCTTTTATGGAACAGAAGGAATTTGTCTGGCAGTAGAGCCCAGGAAGCTCGTTTCGAATCATATGGGGCTCGTCAGTCGTATATATCGCCACCCTAGAGTTCATGTTCGCTCTGGGACGCGAACCTAGTACCTTTCCCCTTAAACGCCCAAAGCTTTATTCACTTAGCTATTCTAAAAAAGGAGTACTAGTTACATGAAGGTTATTTATGGAAAATTCGGCCTTAAATGAGGATTTAATATTGAATCCTAGGGCATTTAGATTCAACACAACTTCCGACCTTTGCTTCCTTAGAAAAATATCTCATTTCAATCATACTACTTGCAAGTAGTTTGTTCGACGTAACAAAACTATATTTTTTTAAAAATAGGTTTGTTAAGATTCATGAGTCTGCTCGTAGTCAATTTATCAAAACATTTTCGTCATCAGATACATCCTTCTTGTTATTGTAATATAGCATTAATCAGTTCATACAATTTTATTTCATAGTTAAAATTAATCGCGAGTCTTCAAGCTACACAACCTACTATTCAAACTCTATTGAGAAATAATGATTTTTGTGCTGCCCTGGATTTAGTGAGCACTACAAAAGAATTATTACATTCATATTTGATGGTGAACTCAACTTCCAGTGATTTATCATCAGATAATGTGATGGACCAGCCTGGTAATAGAAATTTAACATCTAGGTTGAAGAAGAATTCAACTACATTTCTTTGTCTACGTGATTTCGATGCTCAACTAAGTGGCATTTCCAATTTCGTACATAAAATGGTCGAATCAGAATTTGACATTTCATTGTGTCGATTTTTGGATCCACCCATTGAAGAATATGGTGGATTCCATGACCCAGATGTATGTTTGATGTTCTTTTACCAAGTTGAAATATTTAATGAAGTACATTATTTTTTTTGAAAAGCTATTAGTTCCACACGAATTCATCAAATCTTCACGATTTTTCTTTACTATTTTTTATTACTCTGTGTAGTTTTTAATTTAGATAATGGTCTACACTGAATTCTGAAGTAATTCAACTCATTTATTAAGTACAAGTTTACATCCAGCTTTAAAGTACACATTTTCTGTATGGTTATTTATGATACCCAGGCATCGATATTGAAGTAGTCGGGGCAGGGTTCAAACGTACTGCCTAATGGCTCATTCATGATTGCTCCAACCACAAATCGTCTCAAAGAATAAATACTAGTTTCTTGATAAATCGGTGTCATTTATTGGTATAAATAATTCACATTATTTACATTTGTTTGTAAATCTCAAAACAGTTGTTATTAGATACTTTGGCGTTATCAGCCAATTGGCCTGCGTCAACACGCGTCGACAACTTCACTTATCCTGGAAGTCTGTTCAGCCCTAACGAGTTGGTGTGTGATGAAATCTGTGCACGGATTCACAAAGTTCGTTTGGCTTTTGCCAACTCACATTACCTATGGCGAAGCTGATATATCCATCTATAAATATCAATCACGAGTACGGCTGCGAAACGGGTACATTAAGAGTAGAAGATACTCGTACGTTACTAGTATTTGATCACAGATGTCTTAGAAATATTGCTCACATGCTCTGGGATAACCATGTAAGTGATAGTGAAGTTAGACGCAGGTTATTAGGGAACGATGGTAAATCAGTTGATGAGGTTGTGTATCTACATCGACTGAGATGGTTGGGCCATGTATTACACATACCCAACCACCGACTACCACGACGCGTAATGCTGACTAGTATTGGAGACAGATGGAAGAAAGTTAGTGGCGGCCAAACTAAAACAGGGCATCAGTTCATAAAGTCACTAACTTCTAGTCTGAGCCATGTTGTTAGATGCAGACTACTTGGTTAAGATTCGTGCGACTATATTTCCAGAACTCTCTGTTCGTACTCTGAATAATTTTTCTGTCTGTTCGTATAATTACTTACTAATGAAAACATGAACTTTTTCCAAAAAAAATAGTGTAAAACGCAAACGTATCAAAATTTGTTACAACCACAGGAAACAGAACTTCATTCTCTAATGGCTGAAAGATTTTAACCATCCTAAGTGTTTGCCAAAATTCGAGGTTGAAAGTTAGATCCGTCATTTAATAAACTGTTATTCTAATTATTTACTTGATGTCCAAACCTCTCTTCATTTAGATGAGATTTCATAAGTTTGGCTAGTAGTAGCTTGTTGGTGACTGTTTTGTGCAACATCTTTATTTCAGTTGGTCAGATACATGATTTGTTTCAGTAGCGTATTGAGATGTACCGGAACTCCACTAGTTAGCTTTATGTACAGACATGCTCTAATTATATTTTAATTTGTCATCAAGTTGGGTTATTCAGAATAAGCAGTTTGTGTTCTGCATTCCTAGAGATGTTTGATGGTAATTAATTTCTGTAACGTTTAAGCTTCTGTGTTTTGGTGGATAACCTTCGATAATGTACTGAGTAAAAGTAGATTGCTATTTGTCGTTGTTCTTTCTTTGCCTCAATATACTGAGTTTATCGTCCTTGTACTTATTTTTTATTCCTAAAATTTGATTATCATCTACTTAATGATAATTTCTTTATTCTTCCAATTTATTCAACTAAGGTATACAGTCGTAGAATTTAATGCATACATTCCTAAACCAGCAACTGAATAACATGTATGAATCTCGAATTTATAATTATTGAACGCTTTTGTCGAAATCCAAAGAAACCTTAAGAATTCACAAACCTCTACTCACAAAAATTTTAAACGTTGACAGCAGTGTCAAAAACACGATCGGAAGTAAAATAAATTTTCAACGAAGTAAATGTAATAAAAAATACAGTATTTTAGTAGTGTCACTCATTTACATAATGCAAGCCTCATAAATGAATAAATATAAATCAAACCGTTCATTAGTATGGCATGATACTGAAAGGAAGAGAGGATGGTTAAAAGCTAACAAATAAACGGGTTTACTAATTTTTGATCGTATTCATTTCAGTTTATCTCATGTCTTTCGTCTGGTAATTAGAAATACAATGATGTTTAATTTAGATCAAACCACTCAAGTAATAATTTCTTTCCAAAGACAACTTTTTTACACTAAGCCATCCCCTTTAAATAGTTTAAATCATGAACGAATCTTCACTAGACCACCATTGAAAGTCAGGAAACGCTGGACAGCTGTTTCGTCCCAGTATAGGATTCACTAGTGTGACCCCTTTCACCTTTTAATCTTCAGCATTATCGTTACATTTTTTAGTAGTCATTTCTCTTCATAGTAGATTGAGTTTGTGTATAATGATTGGTTATCTATTACTGTTTTACTCATCTCTTTTTTAATCTTTCACCTTGGCATACCTACTTACAGATTTTATCGTGTTTTCTTGGTTTAATACGAATTAATCGGTTGGATTTTGTGAGTGGTTTTCATGCAGAAATGCTCAAAAGAGTTAAAGATATATTCTGTCAACATATCACTTCAGTTACACGACCTCCAGGAAATGATAGTGTTACAGAGTAAGTTATTACCTTCTTTTCTTGCTTCCTTCGATATCATAAAGCAAATAAAATCCTAAGTATTTTATTTTACATGGATCAATACTTGTTTAGATTGAGGAAATTATTATTTTGGGATGTTTGTGTACCTTCCCATAATCTCATTAAGGTAGGTATCTTTTATGCACTTCTGAAATTCCAGCCTTATTGAAATTAATAACACTTATTGAGATTGGTACTCGAACTGGATTATTTTCACTTATTTTTACCAAGTCATTAACATTGCTCATTACCAAATTAGTATTCTGGCATATTAAGCAGAAAATCATTCATCTTAAGTATATTATTCGTCTACTCGTTCTCCTGTGGCACTCGTTTTAATTTCGAGTATGTGTTAAACTGAACTTGAAATTTATTGTTTAACAGATTCATTGTTAGATACCATATGTTTTAAGCAAAATGATTGAATGTAACACCAAATTTCTTGGTTTCTCTATGACAAATTATTCTTTTATAATTTTTCCCCCTTTTTAATCAGTTCTTCTACAACAATAGGATCTAATGCAACTAAATCATCTACTTCTGATCAACTGCGTAATATGCCATGTGAAAATTGGATGACGTTTTTAGTTAATCTATGCAATGACATAAAATATTTACTAATTCGTGGACAAGTGAGTGGTTAATTCACATATATTTTGCTATAATGATTGCATAATTTTCTTGAACTTGTAGACTAATTGTGCGAGTAAATTGTCAAATGGTATATCAATTTACTGAAATTGTTGATCAAGTCAGAGCTTATGAAAAATCGTCATTTAAACTGGCTACTTCACTTTACATTCGTCAACGCTGCTCAGTTTTGTTTAGTTTTAGCATAGACATATTTCTAGAAGCTAAACACCGCCTATATCAATTTAGAGCACATAGATGGTATATTTTTCATAAGCAAACATATTCATAAAATAGATAATCTTTTAAATGCCTTTGGAATATGCTTCTGTTTCTGGGTTACTCATGACTGACCACCATGTACCTTTATTATGTATATTTGAAAAATGCTAATTGCTGTCAAACTGTTATAATACTCATGAAGTCATCGTTTGTTGAGCTGAAATGAGCTGGGGAGTGCAGAATTCCTTGTTAAAGTTTCATGAAGTAGAAAAACCACTGGAACTACTTAATGATGACCAAAGATAATATCCAACATAAAATCAACCAAAATGTCATGTTTATTTCCCTCAAACACTGATAATCTCTATTCAGTACATAACCATTAGCGTTCTTTTATTTTTTTATCTCTCATTCTGTTTTTCTTTCTGTTGAAATTGTAATAATTTTACTTGGTAAAATTAGCCCGACCGTTGTTGCTACCTTGACGTGGTGGTCGGACTTGCCTATCGTGATGACCCAACCGAGCTATACTGGCTGGAACAACCGTTCCTCAAGGTCCTACCATGTCAGACTGGTCGGTTGAAGAGCGGTAAGACTAAAAGCAACAAACCCAAGGTCCGAAGGCAAAGACGTACCACTGACTGTACAGAGGTGTGACAGCAGTAAGGTGTTCCCTTCAGACAACCAGCATGACAGCGATGCTGCCTTCCCACAAGGAGGGGTGGGGTTAGAAAAGGTCGACCCTAAAAATGCACACCTCCTTATCCCACGGATATCCGTCTCCGGCGGTAAGGTCTCAACAAGTACGGAGCTAACACAAAGATTACTCATAAAAGGTAGTGTGTGACCGACCTCAAGCAGTTGTCCCTTGGGCACTGCGGTCACGCTCCCAGGTCACTAAGACCATCTCTAATCCAATTTCCTTTTCAGGTACCTCCAGAAAACCCTTCCACGGTGTGGGCAACCGGGAAGTGATAACCGCCCTCATACCTCTAACAGCACTCAAGACCACTGTATTCATAATCAACCTTCCTCTTCAATTCCTATTATTCCTCCTACATCGACTTTCAACTCTAAACTTCCTTTTTCGGCTTCCTCCTCAAGTGTCACCATAGCCAACGATTCTAGTGCTCAAAACTCTGTCCCAGGTCTACTGAAACCTCGCTCCAAACTACACATTGGAGCCTTCAACGTACGCACCCTATGTCAAATCGGTCAGCAGGCTTCCTTGGCTAAAACCCTAGAGTCTCTTTCCATTGATGTATGCTGTGTCTCCGAAACACGCATACAGGATTCCAGTGTGGTCATTCACTTGACCTCACCTCGGCAAAACGGAGAGCCAACGAGATACACCCTCCGTGTATCTGGTGACCCGATGGCAGTTCTCGTGGACTGGCAGGTGTAGGCATAGCACTAAGCATGAGGGCGGAACAAGCACTGCTAGAGTGGATCCCCGTCAACAGTCGTCTATGTGCTGTTCGGCTAAACGGCTCCGTAAGAACTCGGAAGGATAGGGACACACGTCGTTGCCTTTTTGTCGTTTCTGCCTACGCTCCCACTGACTGCAGCTCAGATGAAGTGAAAGATGAATTTTACAGAAAGCTATCTGAACTTCTTCAGAAAGCTAAACGCTCAGACATAGTACTCGTAGGAGGTGACTTTAATGCTCAGATAGGTAGTTTAAACCAAACAGAAAGGCATTTAGGTGGATATTTTAGTATTCCGGCACAGCGAACAGATAATGGTGATCGTCTGCTGCAACTATGCTCAGACAATCGTTTATTTTTAGCAAACACAAATTTTAAGCATAAGGAGAGACATCGTCTAACATGGCGACCCCCTACACCAAACCAACGATGGACTCAAATAGACCATATTGCCATCAGTCATCGTTGGAGAGGGTCGGTAGAAGATTGTCGCTCATTCTGGAGTACCTGCTTGGACTCCGACCATGCCCTAATACGGGCACGCATTTGCTTGCGCCTCACTGGACGCAAAATAGCCACATTAAAAAGACTCATTAGAACTTAATTGAGTATGGAACATTGAAGTAGGTCCCCCAACTCTTGCTGAAGTTCAAAAGGCTATAGTTTATCTGAAGCGGGGAAGAGCAGCTGGTCCAGATGGACTAGCTCCAGAGGTCTTTAAGGATGGTGGTCCAATTTTAGTGATTAGGTTGACTAATATTTTAGCTAAGATCTGGGACTTAGACGTTATCCCATCTAACTGGTCACAATCACTTATCGTCCCAATATTTAAGAGAGGGTTAAAATCATTTTGTGACAAGCATAGAGGGATTAGTTTAACTAATATAGTATCTAAAATACTAGCCTCGATAATTATCAGACGCCTAACTAAGACTCGTGAACTGCAAACACGAGAGACTCAAGCTGGCTTCAGACCTGATAGTGGTTGCATCGACCACATATTCACCATTCGTCAGGTTCTAGAACATAGGCATACTTATCGGCGTCCGACAATGGTGGTCTTTCTTGACTTAAAAGCAGCATTTGACTCGTTAGACCGCGAGATTCTGTGGCAGTGTCTGTCATTGAAAGGCGTACCTCAGAAGTACATAAACCTTGTGAAGGCTCTTTACTCGAACACTACTAGTCGAGTCAGAGCTTATGGCGAACTGTCATCTACTTTTGCAACCTCAAGTGGTGTCCGTCAAGGCTGTCCACTTTCTCCATTTTTGTTTAACTTCATCATAGATCTACTGATGGAAATAACATTCTCGTCGACTGAGTTCTCGGGTATTGATCTCCATCCAGGAGGTCCACTTATCGACTTAGAATACTCAGATGATATATTCCTGTTTGGTGAAGACGCTGACAAAATGCAGAGCTTTTGGTAGCACTGAGCAACAATGCCAGATGTTTGGGATGCGTTTCTCTCTCTCTAAATGCAAGTTGTTGCTTCAGGACTGGTCTGCGTCAACACCTGAACTAAGGATAGGGAGTGAAGTAGTGGAACGCGTCGACAACTTCACTTATCTTGGAAGTCTGATCAGCCCTAATGGGTTGGTGTCTGACGAAATCTCAGCACGGATTCGAAAAGCTCGTTTGGCTTTTGCCAACTTGCGTCACCTTGGCGAAGGCGAGATATCCGTCTATCAATAAAAGGACGAGTATACTGCGCGGCAGTCCGTTCTGTTTTACTTTACGGCAGTGAAACATGGCCATTAAGAGTATAAGACACTCGTAAGCTACTAGTATTTGACCACAGATGCCTTAGAAATATTGCTGGCGTCTGCTGGGATCACCGGGTAAGTAATAGTGAGTTTAGGCTCAGGGTATTAAGGAATGATGGTAAATCAGTTGATGAGGTTATGAGTCTTCATCGACTGAGATGGTTGGGCCACGTGTTACATATGCCTGAACACCGATTACCACGACGTGCAATGCTATGCGGTATTGGAGATGGTTGGGAGAAAGTTAGAAGCGGCCAAACCAAAAAGTGGCATCAATGCTTGAAGACACTAACTTCTAGTCTGAGCCATGCTGGAAGATGCAGACTACTTGGTTGGGGTCCGCGTGACTATCGTAACCAATGGTTTGAGACTCTTGGTGACATGGCTCAGAACCGATCACAATGGCGTTGGTGTATACACTCCCTGTCTTCCCTTAAACTAAGAGATTAAAATCACGTCATATCTTTCTTTCTACGAACCAATTCTTTCCTCTTGTACTATATCTCTATATGCAATCTTCCTCTTATTTATTACCACCTTTGACCTAACCACTGCTATGAATCCGGTGTTCATCTTGTTGTACTGATACGGTATGGCAACCTGGACCGATGCACATATGTGCCTGGTCCTACGTTGTAGCTGACTGGCTGGCTGACTGACTGGTAAAATTAGTTTTTGTTATTAACCACCAGCAACTATTTTGTATCATGAAATAATTATAAACGTAAAAATAATTTATCACTATTATAATGGACGCTACGCACAAGATTGCTTTTAGACAGTAGGTAGTGAACGTGGTCTCAAAGTTGTCACAGTCGTTAGACGGAGTGAAGAGTTTCTGTATATGGAAAACAGGGCGTATGTAGAACACTTGATGATCAGACGATAATATAGTTCAGATTGCACAGTACACTGGTAGATACAAACGGGTGATCGAATGTTTTGTAATTTCTCTTAGTTAACAATCTTTCTGACTATTGTCTTGTTCTATACTATAAAGTGTTCAAACCTCACATGTGAAAAATTAACGACGAAAGTTGAATAAGAGTAAGTTATGGTTATAACGACAATTCAATGTATTCAGTAAATAATTTAATAAAAATAATTGAAGATATCTCTAAGTCATTATTTTATTAGATTATATAATTATTGCTGTTTTTGACCCATATAACTCAAGATTTTCATATTGTCTAACACTTTTTATGTTAGACAAAATATCAAGTTATTTCATTTATATTGTTCTTGACTAGAATTCATTAATTCTTTACTCTCATTTTAAATTAGGACGTTGTGGATATATTCGAAAATAACCTGTGTTCTAATCATCAGTCAAATGAAACTGTTGAAAATAGTACTGTTATTTTGTCTACTCATCAACCTTTAAGTACAATTAGTGTGCATAAAGCGAAAGAACTTGCTAAATGCATGCATAAAACTTTATGGAATACAGCTAATATATCCCAGAAACGTTTATGTTCAATTGTTTCATCTCGATTTCGTCTTGGCTCTATTCAATTAATGGAACCAAAGTTGACGACATCAGTAGCATTGTCTTCAACTGTTGATTTATCAGTGAATTCACCAAATCTACAACAAAGACATTTGTCTACAACTTCAATAATGGATATTCCATGTACAACAGTGTTTAATGAACATGTATTTGATAAATTTACTTGGAGTAACTTTAGAGAACTAGTCAAAATATTGAGTATTTTCCAGGTATGTTTTATTTTTTTCTCTTCATACAGATACAAAAGTAATATATCGAAACGGTTATTTATGCGACAGCATACTTTTTTGCAATTATATCGACTGATACTTTCCACTTTACGTTTCCTTTAATATCTCTTACAAAATATCTGAATTGTAAGTTTGTTGGGCATGTTAGATCCCCAGAAATCAATTGATAAACGTCTCCTTTTTGTAATTCTATTTTTGAAATTCGAATTTCTCATTTTCGCGCCAGAAGCGACAACTTTCACCTTCAGTTTGTATTTTCCACCTTGAAGGACCTTAATTGTCACTGGCTCTTTTCCTCTCTTAATATGTCATTTTGTGACATTTTCCAAGGACATTTTTGTACTGTATATATACGCTTGAGTTGTGTGCTTGTTCATTCGTGCTTCTGACTGCTTGTGGAATAATACTTTTTCCTCATCTGAATCTGATCTTCTGCCTCTAGTTAGCAAGACTGGGGCGCAGTGGAGTAGTTTAGCTTTTCCTGTTGTCATGTTGCTGACTTTCGTTTCATTTTCCGGTTCAGGTGATTCGTAATCTCTTCAAATGTAGCAAAGTTGTTTTTCTTTTACCTTCATTTAAACATTGCCGATGTTATAACAATAAACGCTTTAGTGACAAACATCCATATCTATAATTCTTTTGATTTTTATATCTTGATTTGATTCGGATTTTTTTCTCGAAATAATTTGTTCAGTGTGAAATATTTGAAACACTTAAATGAATGAATGTAGTATCCTAAGATGATCCGACTGATGTTATAATCATGTACTAGATGAAGTTATTGGAATCACATTCTATTCATCATAACTTCTCCAAATAAGATGTGCAATATCATCTGGAACAGGAGCAGGTTTGGAGAACCTCGAAGTGTGTCTACATGTTGATGAAGCCACGATCTGTTGGTCTCTGCTTTGTAAGTAGTATTGGCTTGTTTTCTGACCATGTGACCTTTAAAAATTTACGAATAAAGATATGAAAACTTAAGTTTATATGGCTCAAAATCATGCAAGGATGAACTCTTCTTTTATTTTTTTTCTTCCAAGTATTTAACAACTTTCATTGGTCTACTTTTTGCCCGTTCACTGTTGTCTCCTAGTTTATTTTCTTCCCATATATGGTATTCCAAAATATGATAGACTGAAAGTGATTCACTTTTGTCTAAGGTTTCACTTTATAGTGCCTTTTACGATTGTTTGTCTAATGTAGGTTGTTGGTTCAGATTAGTTTCATACTTAATTCCATAAGTATTTGTTGTCATCTTTTTCAATATTGGTAAATCAGAGTTTTCGTATGACTTAGTACGCTTGCTGATCTGTTCCAGTTTACTAGTGTTGGATCATCAAAAAGCTTTATATCTGATGAAGTGGGTTATTTCAAAGTGGTTCTTTTTTCTATTATTGTTGCGTTTGATATGATAAAAGGTATTAAATATCTTTTTTAATGTCGAAAAGTGTGTCAACATATATTTATAATTATAATTATAATATAATAATTTGTATTCTGAAAATAATAATTACAGAATTCACGCCAGTTTACAGGCATGATCAATTTGATATAAATAGTAACATTAGATGTGCAGAACAAACATGTACTAGTTCAGTAATTGTTTAGGTACTTCATGTATTACAGCGATCTAATGTATCAGCCGGGAGTTTTTAATATTTCTTAAATGGACAACCTGTTGATTTATGAACGGAGTAATTAAGGTCATTTCGTGTGCCAGATCTAATTGATGGTAATTATCTACAACTAGAGAAATTAAAACGAAAACAGTGAGCACGGAACAACAAAGCAGTAATTACCAAAATATATGAATCAGGTCTACCTAAATGCGTGTGTCATGTGACACAGTGATATACTGTTGATGTTATTCAAATTAGTTAAACTTGCTAGGGATGGTGTTAACATAAAGTGACAGCAAGTAGGTGGTTTTACTTGGGGAATGCACTAATAAAAATGGCTAAACATTTAAAGATCCTATAATACTACTTGTGGAATGAGATACACTTACAGGTGCTAGACCATTCAGTGCATTTTCAGAGGAGCAGTATGCACCGATGCAGAGAACAAATAATGGGAGTGATTTTATCGTACGGATAGATTGTGGTAGGTTATTCCAGAGTCGAGAAAATTTACAGATAAAGTAATTCATATAGAGAGATGAATTATAATAAGTTTATTTCACTAGTGACAAGGAATTATGGATGCCATAATGAGAAGTTTCTGCATATTGAATCACTTGATTGGATGTAAAGGATAGTTTATTAATTAGTTTGAAGTAGTTTGAGTCTCTTCTTCCATAAAAGGTCGAGCCCAAGTTTATTACATCTAGAATTATAAGTTAAGGTACAATCAGCTCCAAGAATACGAAGTGTAAATCATCTCTGTACTGATTCCAGCCTTAATTTATCCTTTATGCGCACACTGCTAAGAATAAACGTGCAATATTCTAGAAGAGGTCGAACACAAACTTTATACATTAGAATATGATTCATTGTTTAAAGGTTTCGAGTTATGTAACCTATTAGACGTTGAGACTTAGAGGTCTGTTTTAATATCTGTTCTGTAAACGGCAAGTCTTGGGAGTATCTAAGTCCTGAGTCTACTACTGTATGTAACCTAGATAACACTTCTCCATTTATGGTAATATCTAGGTTGAGTGATGTATCGCCGAAGCATATCCATCCACATTTAGCCGTATTAAGCTTCAGTTGCCATTTTAAGCACCACTGTGCTACCTTGTTAAGCTCCATGCTGATGCAGTTTTGCATATCGATAATTGTTATCAATGTAACTAATTTATCAAGTACTGCTCTATGAATTTTGCTTTTAGCCACAATGTTTTTGTCAGAGGTTTTGATACTACTCAATTTCCCGAACTGGAGTAGGTGAACCAGTGTCATTAAACATAAGCAGTGAAGTTTCTATGTTTTTATTTTACTGAACCAGAAGATTGGGAGTTCTTATTATTATCTGAATGAAAAGTGTTATATAAACTAATTTATGAAATACTTCAACATGTTCAAGTCAATGTTACAGCCTTTTTGTTATTCTTGGTGAACAGTCAAAGTAAAAATAATTTATCCAACCTATTAGGATTAAATTAATCGTAAAATGAATGTTTTTGCATAATGTAATGTTACCATTGAATCTGTTAATTTAATGAATCATTGGGTTGACTTTTATTCAATCAATAATTGGAATAAATAACTAAATATATTTAAGCTTTAAACCTGAATTGGGCAATTCTAACAATATATGTAAGTTAATAGCCAATAGATTAAATTATACTGAAAGGAATAAAAAAAACCAAACAAAAGCATAATTATGGTCGGTTTTAAATAATAACTAGGTAGTTAAGTAAATCACCTTAATTTTTAAATGCTAACCTTCTTGTCAAATATTATCGGGTATTAATGAATGATCTAACAGTATACCACATAAATATGAATACTGTTATTATTCTTTGGTTCTTTTCTTTATTGTTCATTATAAGGTATATGTTCTTCGAGCATGGTTGAAATTTTCTGATATTCCAATTAAAACAATAATTTATCATCAATCGAATTATTCAGAAAATTGTTTACAACCGAATGTACATTCTTTGAATAAATCACAGTCTTGTGTTAAAAAATCAACGATTCTTTTAAATAAAAAAACTTCAAATGATGTTATCCCCTCTTCCATTATTAGTTCTAACACTAATGATTGTATATCTAATAACCAATACATATTTAATATTCAATCCGATTTAATCTTACGTGATCTTGTACTTGATATGATTATACTTATAATTGACCGATTTCATCGTGAAAATTATGATAAAATAAATATGTTATTGGATCAAGAAAGATGGCAAGCAGCTATTTGTCCAGAACAAGTTCAACAAATGATTAATGATATATCCATAGAAGTAGGACATTGTAAAATGAAGGTAATTTAATCCAATAATTAATACATTTTTTTGTTTCTTAGTTAAAGTACTTTAGCATACATTATTTGGGACAAATCAAATTAATGATGCTAATTTTCTGGTTACCGAACAATTTAATTCTATTTTATTATTGATTTGTTAAATTGTTATTTCGATACTATCAAAGTGTGTAATAACCACCAACTCATTAATATGGTTTGTTTATTTGAAAAAAACAAACAACATCAGTAGGAAAAAGACTGTTTTTAATGGTAAAACCTACTACATTGCTGGTTTGAAACCTCATTATTATTTTTTCCAGTTTAGACAACTGGTTAGTATTACATTTAAAAGTATATGAATTACTGCTTAGTAATTAAGATACACTAATTTTATTGTTGTTTGGGAAAATTTATTTTGGTTCTTTTTTTATAAGTTTTTTTTTCTGTGCAAAATATTAGCAGTTGGATTATGCACCATGGATTGTTTTATTGCTTTACGTATACAAAGTGTTTACTTTGCTGTTTACTTTCATGACTCATTAGTCAACATTATTATCTTTAAACGATTTATTCACGAGTTTACATTTACTTCACTTATTCTGTTTGTTATGATTTCTCACTTCAATCAGTCAGCTACAACATAGGACCAAGCACACATATGTATCGGTCCAATTTGCCACACCTTATGAACACAACAAGATGAACACCAAATTCATAAAAGTAGTCACTTCAAAGGTAGTAATGTATAAAAGAAAGATCGTCTATAAGGATATAGTACAGGAAGAAAGAATTAGTTCGTAGAAAAAAAGATATAAAGCAGTTTTAATCTCATAGTTTAACGGGAGTGAGTGTATATATCTACGGCGTTGTGGTCGATTCTGAACCATGTCACTCAGAGTCTCCACGGTGTGGGCAACCGGGAAGTGATAACCACCCTCATACTTCTAACAGCACTTATGATGTAGTAAAGGCGATATTCGGGATTGAATGGAAAAGCTGTTCTTATAAAAACTCAATTTTAGGGAATAAGAGAACTACAGGAAAATTAGATCTTATAAACATGCCCAATATTTAGTTACAATCTTGCATTATTCAGGTCTTATCCTTTGAAAAACTGCTAAACTTGTACGTACACGTACATATAAAATTAATTTGGCTTCTCTTTATATTTTTATTGTGTGAACATACTATTTCATGATAGGCTATATAATCAGGTGTTTTGAAGAAAAGATGGACATGTAAGAATACAATTTATGGAAGTAATTCGTTTACTACCTGAAAAATAAATTGTTTTTTCATCTTTCGAATAAGTCAATGTTCTTAGGTTTACGGGAACATCTCACCTGAGGTGGAATGTAATCAGAAGAATCTCTTTATTTATTAGGATATTTGTTTGCAGAAGTACATAAACGATAAGTGGTCATAAAACAACTAGAAATCACCAGTACAGGGAATGTGGAGATTATTGAATGTTAGTGAGATTACGAACCGACCAAAGCTGGATAATTGTCAACCTGTCCATTTTTTCCAGGTTTAAAATGAGTGTCTAACTTAATTCGATTTGTCACCTCAGTATACGATGGTTAGTGTACGTTAAACGTACATTAAAGTTAATGAATTCAACGACAATAACAGTCTAATCTCAACACATACAGGCACAAAATTGGATCGTTTCAATATGACTACAGAAAGAAATCGACCAATAAAATCCAAGAATAAACTCTAGTTACTCATAAGTAATATAGTTGTAAAAACAAATTTCACAAGTGTAGCTATTTGCTTACATTTGTGCCACATTGCCATATATATACAGTTTAATGTACTCATATTCATCAAAATCTAAACTTGACCGATTAAGCAATCGAAACGCTGTGTGGTTGATTTGGATTTTATTGACATAAGGAATATTTATGATGAATAGAATGCATTTTACTCATTTAGTTCACTTTATTCATCTGTTTGTGCATCCGAGGTTGTCAGAATCACAAATGATATGAAGTCTCCTCATTCAGCAACGGTCATTTTGACTTGCAATCACTTATCATATTGTTTAAAGCCCTCAAGAGAGAAATAGTATTGAAATAAATTCGTTAAAAAAGAATTATGATTTCGATTGGAAAGCAATTACCATCACGCACAGACATCAATTCGAGAAACCATTTAATGTTGAACAGCTATTTTATCCTCACTTGTTCAGTACTTCTAGATCTTCAATGTTTCTTCAACAGATATCAATTTCCAGTGCAAATAACATATGAATTGTACAAAATTGTCCCAGACTAATAAAAATTTCGATTAATTACGCAAATATGTTTGATTGAAAATAAGCATACGTATAATATCAGTTGAGCTGAATGATTTATTCTTTAAAATATATCCTTACGTAAAATACCTATGTTTCTATCTATATAATAATATTTCGGTTTCTTTTCAATGTCACTTTTCAAGTTCTTTCTTTCCGACAAATTGTTTTCATTAACATTTCTGTTACATCTTAGAGTTCACAACTGACCAACGAACATTCTCCTTGTACACCGAATCATAATAATTTGATTCAATCAACAGATAGTGTGGTCTCTACACCCAATTATATTTTTCTAAAAAATGAAGAGTATACTGTAGTTCGTACAGTTATACTGTTGTTGCCAATAATTAATGGTTATGTAAAATTAGATGAAAAATTACCTGGTCAACCGTTAACTACTGAATTTGTTTCAGATCGTTTAGCCGATCTACTTAATGTAAGTGTTTTCTGTTTCATTCCACACAAATTTTCTAACTTATTTGGGAAGATTATTAATAATATTACTATTACTATTATTATTAATATTACTATTATTATTGTGTTAATATGTGTAGTGAGTGGATGAACAATTTCCACTGTAATCTTAGATTTTTGAATGGTTTCAATCAATCAATGTACGAAAATGCTTCTATTTATTTGATTAAGTTGTTAAATTTAGTAGTTTCTTATTATCGAATGCACTGCATTGTATTATTTATATCGGAATTCGGTTTTTCTGTGAACTATCTTTTTTTGATAGAGTATTTGCATTATTTTATAGTGTCAATCTTAACATAAAATATCTTGAATCAAATTATCGTCATCGTGTAATACGTGTTAACAATTTTCACCATAGCCTAACGTTTTGAACATCTTGATTTGAACTACTAAATTTCAGGTTCGAACTGTAATCATTCTTTATGTGGTTCTTAGTCACTGTGTAACTTTTTTAAACGGAAAGTCTATCTTAGCACCGTGTAAAAGAAGTTTCTTAGGATATCAATAATGCTTGTGGGTTAACATCATTTATCTATGAAATAAGTTGTGCGATTATACTTGCATGTGCTCAAGCTAACGAGTTTTCCAATATTTTCGCTTAATCAATTCAAGTAGAATTTTTCGTCGTAAGTAGACAACCACTTTGTAAACTTAACAGATTCTCATACTGATAGATAATTTAATTCAAATCTAATTTCCTGAAGAAGTGTTTCATTTATTTTGTATAGTTAAGCTATTTAGAAACATGAGTGACGTTAGACTGTAAATTAATATCTTCTAACTCCTATTATAAGTAACCCTGGTTAACTTCGTATCCTCGCCTAGTTCAAATCCTGTTATGTAATTTCATTTGTTTTATTGAAATTAATTTATTAGTAGTGTATTGCCTTAGGAGACTATACGTATGACAATCAGGCCAGCAAAGAGAAAAGATTGTAAATAAATATGTGAGCGTATATACGAGTTGCGAATTATTGACTGATTAGTACATTTGTAATTAATAAGATATATAATGAACATTCACACCCTTACATACACATAGGAATCTCCACATACTTGATCAAACGTCTGAGTTATGGTGAAGTAATTAATGTTAATAGGATGATATATCTATTTGATACACTTTATATCTGTCTATAGCAAGACTGATTGTATGTGTATGTGATGAAAATAGGTTAACGACAAGATAAATCGATGTTTTTCTGACATATTTCATCCTATCATCTACTGCGTTTTTGAGACTATGAGCAATTGAACAATACGAGAAAAGTGTTATAGTAGTTTTTTCTCGTTATTTCTAAATTTGTAGCGCAACATTCAAAATGTTTGTATGTATGTAATGAACATGAACTCAAATGAGGAAAACCAATTAATTATTCAATGCAGAATTACACAGTGCCCAGTATGAGAATCATACATTGAATACATTATGTGCACATCTTTGAGTTATCCTCCACATACTCTATTACTCCTCTCATTCTGTCGTTATTTCGATTGCTCTCCGATTTCCTGATAAATAGTAGTAAGTAAAGTGTCTGTCTGCCATCGCACTGTGTCGAATTACAACTTAGTTTCACTGGCTACACATTTTCCATACATTTATTTGATTTGACTACCTTTTTGCTTTATTTGCTTACTTGTTGTAGCATTTCAATTCCCGTGTTTGTCAACTTGTACTTGGTGCTGAGGCATGTAAACGGGTCGATCTACAACGTATATCTGCTAAAAATCTTGCCTTGACCCTGCGTAGTCTACAATTGGTTGTGCAATTTTTACCATGTATACAATTCTTGTTAAACAGGTAAATTACTGTTGAGTCTTTAAAAGAGATGGATTACTATACTGACATTCATTTTTCTGTAGTTTCCTTCCGTTGTATGTTCTTCATATTATTAAGGAAATTTTCCACAAAGTAGCGGTCTGACATATGGAAGAAATTTCGAAAGGTTTTTTAGGTTAAGTTAGTCCAAATGGGAAAAGTGTAGGAAATCATAACTTTCGCCTAATGAAAGCTTTTTAGATTTAGTGTGGCTTACAAGGTTACAAAATCTCTGTAACCCCGGTTTTGTAGCTCGAATGACCAAATGATATGAGAACTGAAATTCATGTACAACGTAAACTGCAAAACTTGCGAAAAGTATTATGTGGGATAAGATAACCATCGTTCATGTAAAGTCATCATTAATTGTTAGATAATGACAAATTAATGAAGATGATACTAGTTTTGAAGGTCTAATATACCAGTACATTCGGCAATCTATATACTTAATCTCTCAATAGAAAAAAATTCAACAACCAACTCAGTGTTTTGCTATCAGGACAGAAAAACATACACGGGAAATAAGTAAAGAATCAACCACACACCTCAAGGTAATAAGCATAGGTTTTAGTCATTTCCAGATACTTTAAAATCGCTTGATTTCCCCAGGGTTTGTGATTGTGAACTTTTTTCATACCATATATTACTGAATAAACACAATGACAATTTACCAATATTCCTGTTTTACTGAATTATTTATTCTCTACCCCGTCTAATTATCAATATTAAAGATTCCCATTGTGAAAATTAGAACAACACATATGAGCAGACAAACACTAGACGTTTTTCGCTATTACTACTAATCTCACCGGTGATAATACAGTTGAAAACAGGCAAGATATTTATAGAATCATTCATTATTGATGTTAAGAGCCACTGTGGAAAAAAGAGACATGGTGATCTATAAAAATCTTGTTTTCAGTTGTATCTAGTTAAATACTTTTCACTGACAAACCATTATTCAGCAATTCCATTCAGTTTAAATGATAAACAACTAACATAATTTATTACTTCCATTTATTGATTTTCATATGTGTTGCATAAAAGTTGCATATTTTCTTCTCATTCGTATTCCTTTCTATGTAGAATATCTAAAACGGAGTTTAATAAATCATCATCAACTAGTGTCGATAACCTTCTTATTGCTTCATTATATCATTCTAACAGTCAAGGGATAAATCGAATAACATTAAATGGTCTAGACCATATTGAAAAACTGTTTAAGTAAGTTTTAGTCCTACTTTGTGGTGTAATTCTTGTTATCAAATGTAAACTGTTAACAGAATTATTACTTTGAATATATATATTAGGATATGGTTATGGTTGATGCTTTCACTTCTACTTTTATGATGAAAATGCTTCAAATCATAAACAGTTTCCTGCACATTAACTATCAGCTAATTCCCAAAGTTTTTTTTCTTTTTTTAAGTTTTCAATACATCAAATTTATTACAATAAATCTATTCTGACAACTTATTAATTCGAAAGATTCAACATCAGATATAATCACCTTGAATTGTTTGTATGTATATCATCAATAATTCAATGAATTATCCAAATAACTCTTTGGTTTAAAAAAATTCTTCCCCTCTAAGTCGCTAGATAAACTTGTATCCAATTTTCATTACATTCATAGTTATTAGGTTATATGAACATGTTACTCAATATAAATAAGCTGAACTAGTCTCTATTGGATTTACCTGAATAACGCGAACCATTGTTTGAATGAGGCACATTGTAATTACATCAACCAAGAACAGAGTAGCAAATGTACAATCACCCCTTTAAATATGAGCGAGAGTTGTGCAATCATTTATTTGCTACTCATTGTTAATGTGGTCAGAATACATAAATCCTGTGCATCGTAGCCTATGTAATCATTTTAACATCTTGTTTTACCAATTGAAGGAAAATATTGCCATATCGAGAAATTTGATTCAGGTCTTTGTAATAGCTGTTTTGGGATTAAATAGATTATCAGTGGATATACTATTATTTGGGGGAGTTGAATGTATAATTTTTCGACTCAGTTGTTTTTAGTTCATGGAATGATCAATTATGACATAAAAGTAGTTAAGTCATATGAAATATCAATTAATTTCCTTCTGGATGTATTATTTTCACTACAAAGTCGTATTAGCTCATGGATACTGTTGTCATGGTCTTTTAGAAGAAATTCCGTGATGTATATACCATATAAAGTTTTTGTTTATTGTTTCGTGAAATGAGATTTATCAGAAAAATACTGTCAGTGTTGAATGGTTTAGCCTTCACCTTGTCTACTTATGCTCTGTGTAATCATTTATTGCATAATAACTCTCCATATATATACGATTTTTTCACTGTTTTGTTTTATTTATTAGCCAAACAATATTAACTACTTAATAACCGTAGATTATTTTTCATTTTTTTTATCCAAATATACCGTTCATCATCATGGGTTTAATTAGGGAAGTTCTATTTTTTGATTAAAAAGATGTTCCTGCAACTGAAATTTTTTTTCCTGTTCCAACTTGTGACATTTTCAAATAGTACGCCTTTTTCTTCACATTTTATAGTTTATTATGCATGGATCCTGATTATCCCATCAGTTCGACCATATTAAGTGACTGTTTATTTCCTTAAAAAGTCAGTATTTCTATAGTTTGTTTTTACTTACAAAAATGTGCAAAAATCTAGCTAGATTAATATTCTACTCTTCTGCTATGGGTGCTAGATTCCCAGAAATCACTTAGTAAACGTTTTATTGTTGTTAATTTAATTTTGGGAATTCAAATTTCTCGTTTTCGTGTTAAAAGCGCCCATTTTAAAACTCAGATTGTATTTTCCACTTGAAAGAATGCTAAATATCATTTGTTCCGTTCCCTCTTTAAATACGCTTGTTCGTTCGTGCTTTCGACTGCTTGTGGAATACACCTTTTTCTTCATCTGAATCTGGTTTGCTACCTCTAGTTATCGCGGTCGGGACGCATCGGAACAGTTTATGTTGTCATTGTGTCGCTGATCGTTCGTTCCGTTCGCCAATTTTAAGTGATCTCGTAATCTCTTCAAAAATAGCAGTTTGTGACATAGGTTTCACACCAATGTTATTCCAGTTGATCAAATGAAATAATAAATTTTTAATGTCTAGAAAACTTATAGCTGATCTTACAAGTGATTCACTTTATATGATCACCTTATGAAGTATTTGATCTCGGCAACTGTCATGATAATACTAACTCATTAAGTCTTTAAAGTAGTCACTCTCTTTAATTTTCAGTATTTAAATATAACTATTTTTGCACTACCTCACTGTTTAAAAATTTAAAGTACAAAAGTCAAATAGGACGGGAAGAAAAGTCAGAATTCGATCGGTTTATGAGTTTTGTTCAAGAATACTTCCGTTTTGATTCAATGTAATGATTACCTAATGTAGTATTTGCTTTCCTTTCTCGTATGTTTTATTCTGTATAATATGCCATATTCTTGTATTCCATTGACATGAACTATGATCTGTGTGTGATATGTTATAACTAAGTATTTCTCATATATATGATTTCATCCTAATTATTAATCAAAATGGGTGTACCATCAATATATAAATGAGTGTATTTTTGAGTAGGGTTGTTGTCGTTGTGTTTTGGGATTAATAAATCATCACTTATGCTAATCTTTGTGTTCTTACTTTCGTGTCGTGCGATTTGCAGAGATACATCGTTTTGAGTATATGTGATAAACGTTTCCGACAAAACAATCACCGATGACCAGATATAACAAAGTAACTTTCAATCGACAAAACTTATCATTAAGAAATGAAACATTTAAATACACCTTTACAACATCAATAATGACATCTTTTCTTAAACTTTCTCGGTTATTTTTTTTTCCTTAGCTTCTAATTCATCTTCTACATAGATTTAGTAAATTTTCTCTAAGAAATCTATTAGAATTCTGAATAAACTGATCAATCATGGTTTCCTTTTCATGGATACATAATGTTTATTTAAATACATTAAAAAAAAGAGTAAATTATCTTTTTTTTTTCTTCTTGTTTCCTGAGTATAAATTGTTGTTTAAATACAAAATAAGTTTTTATATTTTCTTAAACTTTATCAACTATAAAAATTTGAATTAATGATTTACCATTAGGGAACTGGATAATAAGAATTTTGTTCTAGAAACCATTTTGTTATTATTATTATTATTATTCAAAATCATTGGTAATTCATTAATAAGCATGAAAAAAAATATTAATATTCATTACACAATATTCTTTTGTGAGAAATGTACAAATGCGAAGATTTGTTTCTTTCATTTACCATTGTCTATATTTACAATGTTTACTAAATTTCTTTATTATCAAACTATTATTTGATAAAAATTAATGCGATACATTTAATTTTGTTTTCTTTACATTCATATATATTGTACTTCTTTCTTGAAATAGTGAACATATTGAAAGTATTTTACAAAAACTTGTTCAATTATTATCGGATCCAATTGGTCCAATGTTTTCTAATTGGTATGGTCGTCCTCCGATACCAAGTAAACAAATGGATGAATTATGTCGTAATTTATCGAAATTAATCGGAATGACTAAAAATGTACTACCTGCTAAAACACTTACGGTAAGTTTAAAAGAATGAAGTTATTTTCTTTTGTAAACAAATAAACTAAATACATATAAAACTCAAATTTTATTATTCGTATTTAATATTTTTATATCTTAGACAATAATCATTATATTATACTATTTTTATCAGTATGAAAATTTGTGAAGATTGTTGAATATTATTTCGACAGTTGATAATTATCATGTTATCACTAGTTATTAACTTTAAAAGTAAGTTGTGTCCAGTGGAGTTTAATGGTGTCGTGCTTGAGGCAGTTACCGTAACATTATTACTGAATACAATTAGGATTTATCCATATTTTGAGTTTCTATCAAACTGATACAGAAGAATATTGATCCATTGTTTTTTACTGGTTTCTCCTCAGATGTTTACAACCCTACTCTTATAGCATAATATTGTTTAGTAAATGTAAATAATTGAAAAATTGGAAAGAAAACGATTAGTGTTATTATATTATATATATATATATATATATATATATATATATATATGCTTATTTATATACATGTATTCGTTGTCATTCGAATCCTGTTAAACTATAATGTATAGCAACAATTATCTAGTTCCATTGGTGTTACAATTTGTTCTATACGTGACATACAATATAGCTTCGTTGATTTACAACCTTTCAAATCAAACTTCAAGGAATTTATCCTAAACTTGTTCACTACAATTTTTGTTGGTACAAGATTTCCACATAATTCATTTCTGAATGCGAATAGGCATTGGCGCAATGTATTCCAGTATCAAGAATTTAATACAACACTGTCTTTGATTTACAATTTCATATCTTATTTTTATTACTGTTTTTTCCTATATGCTTTACATTTTCCGTTTCTCTCTCTCCCTCTATCTTTGTATATGCATTTATGAATATGAACTGATTTGTTACTTCTAATATATTTTTATTTATTTAGGAAAAATGAATAGCTTATCTCTTTCAATTTATGTCTTCATCAGTGTACCTATTCTTTCGTTCTGGTGATATGTGATATTATCGTCATACAGTTATTCTTTTTACTAAATTACTTTAATAATGATGATAATGTCGGTGAAAATCTTTCCGCCTTCTTTTTACTTTTAGTAAATAGATTAATCATTGCTATCAGTTTCATAATGTTCAGCTTGAGTCTATCTACTGTTTTTTTCTTTATTTCATGTTGTATTAATTTATCAGTGTTCATTTCTCATTTATTCATTTATGTTTATTAGAATTTAATTGAAATACATTTTAATTCTGTTTTGTGGACATTAATCATGATTGTTATCTCATTTCTAAATAAATTGACATTTGGAAGGAGGGATTCATTGTTACTCATTATGCATAGTACATATGCATTACAATTTTGTCGAATATCGAAATCCATTATACTCAGTCAACTTTCTTTAAAAAAAAAACAAAGCTATATCTTTAATTGGTTAAATCAAATGACCTGATGTCGACCATCACTTTTAAATCTATGAAATTAAATGTTATAGTTATGTAACTTGTAAACTGTAGTACATTTTAGTTCAATGTAGTATAAATAGAATTGTTTGTGATAAGTTGAAACGTCTTATTTATTCTATTGAAAATATCAAACTGTTTTCTGTCCTGAATTTAAAATTAATGTTATGCATATAGTCTATATGATAATGTTCCCAGTTGATGAATTGTTTACCGTTTTCTTTCTATCTCTCAAACAATCCACTACATATTTTACTTATTGGTATTTTGTAAGGTTTTTAAATTTATTTTTGCTAATTTGATGATTTGATTACCTTTCTATTGACATTGTGTTACTTACTATATTTGATGAGAACTGAATACTACAGTCAGTCGTAGATTACATTTTCGCACACGTGTTCAGATTAGCTCTTATTTCTTGTTGCTAGTGGTGTTTTTCAATTCAATTATATCCATAAAAGAAGCATTGTCTTAGTAGAGGGTTAAGTCAGCGAGTATAACGTGTACATTAGGAATCTGTGTTAAATCACACAAACGATTACAGCCTCCATTATCAAATAATCATACTTTCTGTTGTCAAAAAAACCCAGCTAAACTTAAATTTTTCACTCTATCACTAAGTTTTCTTTACACATTAGTATAGTTTCATTAGCTAGTTAGTTGTGCATTAGTAATCACAAACTAAGTCAATCAGCCACACCTCATTAGTACAACAAGATGAACACCAAATTCATAGAAGTAGTTACCTTAGTAGTAGTAATATATTAAAGAAAGATTGCATGTAAGGATATCATACAGAGAGAAAGAATTAGTTCGTAGAAAGAAAATATATAACAATTTTATTCTCACGGTTTAAAGGAAAACAAAGAGTGTATGCACCGATGTCATTGTGATCGATTTTGACAAACTGACTATTTCCACTGTTATAAGTAAATGCAGGTTTATATTATTTAACCTCGCTTCATATTCATTGTGTTAGAGTTAATGAGATAATCTAGTAATTCCGGATTATTGTCGGTGAAATCCAAGCACCATTATTTTTGTATACATACTTGAATAATATCTTTATTATCGTTTTTTCTATTGAATAAGCGTCTTCAGGTTATTCATTTTGTCGATTGAAGTTGTAGATGTTAAATTGTATTTGTATTATTATATTGTTTCCCCATTTCTTCATTACTTATCATTGTGTGTGTGTTCTTTTCTATCAATTCAACATTTACTAGTCTATCCTGTTGCGTGTTCATAATGAATTAAAGGTGCAGTTACGTCATCGTATTAGTGAACTTGGTATTGTTGCCGATGGTGGACCCCAACATAGGTAATTCACTGATCTTTTTTATCTTCAAATCACTATAATCTCATTTTAATAACATTTTCTTATATCACCCCCCATGTTTATTTATCGTCTGAAGTATAGCTTGAGTTACAATAGTTCTGTATTTAGAAGCTAAAATAATTTGAAAACATATTATAGTTTTGTAATCCTTGTTCTTTTATGTGGAGGCTTTTGTGGATATTTGAATTTTTACTACAGAATAAAATCATATGAAGGACCCTTGGGAATTACGAAACACTACTCCGTTATTTCATCCTATTATGAAATTTCTTAACACTAAATACCGTTTACCTACTGTATATTGGAAAATATTGACAATCTTCAACAATTCAAGCAAGCGGTTTTAGTCAAAATTTAATAAATTACATTTCCAACCTCAATCAATTCTATGTTCTAGTACAGATTGTTTTCTAATTTAATCACTAAGCAAAATCATCTCTCAGTCGTCATGTAACCTCATTTTATCGTTTGGCGAGAAGTGTTAAAAACCTTTGTAATGTAACCCTTATAAATCAAAGGTCAATTACTTCCGTCGTATCGATCCGATTAATATGGAGATAATTCATTTCATGGAATGATTGTCGATTAAATGAGTCGTTTATTCCATCCAGTACAATTTCTTGATTTTCAACACCTTAGTTGATTGCAGCTTATATCGAGAGCTTTGTGAAGGTGTATTTCGTTTTGATATCTTGAAAAAGCTTTTAAAAATAGAATTCTTACCACATTTATTGTTGTAAGAATTCATTAGAACATACTGTACATGAATTCTTTCCCATTGTAATGACTGAAATTGGTTTACTCGAATAAGCAAACGGTTATCATCCTGAGTGAAGTTCTACTCTGACGATCCCAAAATAAAACGGGACGCGCGTTCTGGATTCTCCTGCTAGCCACCATCTACATCTGTTTATATTAATTATTTTTATGTTGTTAAAATGTTGACTGTTTGTTGTTCATTTTAAATAAATTTTTATGTAGAAAGTAGATTGATGAAACAACCGGAAGTAAACATCTTAATTTTAGCCAAACACATAGTGTTTATCAGCAGGTTTAATAAAATTATATGGTTTATATGTGAACATTCAGTAGTTGAATTCATGAATGAATTGAAGATAGATCACCATGGAAAACCTGGAAGCACTGGACACCCGTTTCTTCCTAGTATGTGACTCGTCAGCAATGTGCATCCATTCGTTAAAATTTAGAGGATATTCAATGTAAAAATTATCTTTAATATAATCGAAGCGATTGAAATGTAAGTAGTTCAAGCGTTTCACTCAATAAAATAGTCCAAACGTCTTTAGTGAAGTAATCGTAATCCATATTATCAAAGAATTTATAAGGATTAATAGCAAATTTACACTGCGAGTTTGTCCAATCATATTTATTTTGTACACAGTAATGAGGCAGTCTGATGTAAAAAATAATCACCGGGTAAGGATTCAAGAGTAAGTGTGTGCGTATATCTGCATACAGTTATGTAGGGAAAAGGGCTTTTTAACGTTCACATTTTTTTTATTTCATCAACTGACTAGATTAATAATAATAGTTCAATATAAATTGTGAGGCAGTTACTCACTGAAGACAATAATGGGCCGTTGCCTAATATCGTGGATTGATGAAAGTTAAACATTCACACCTTTGGGTGCCGGCTTAATGGTCTAGAGGATGAGCGCTCGCACGCGAGATCGAGGGCCCTGGATTGGAGTCCCTCTTCGTGGAGATCATGGATGCACACTGTTGAGGAGTCCCATACTAGGACGAGACGACCGTTCGGTGCTCCCAGGTTTTCAATGGTGGTCTAACATAGACCCATTCATGATATCAATCTAAACTCAACAATCTCCACAATTCTATGCGGATAATTTAAACATTTTTTCCCGATTTATTTCCTACTGTTTGGTCTCAAAAATGAAAATTTTTTTGAATAACAGCTACCAGTGGAACCTAAGATGAGTGTTTCGTCGTAGCTTCGACTCATCAACTGAGGGTTTACTCCCTTTATGTTTTTATTGTTGATACTCGAGCTTGACGTCATTAATTATCTCTCCAAATCTCACTGGTATTTTAGCTAAACTACTGAGATCAGATAATCATTAATGTTTGTAACATCTTCAGTATGCTAATAAAAGCGGATCAACTTCAGCTCTGACTATCGAATACCAGAAAACAAAAGTCGCGTATCTAGGCGCTTGTTATTATAAGATCTTGCCATTTCAGTGCTCACAAAGAAATTTATTCATTTTTGTTTTCCAAGTAAGATGCTATATTCGTATTTCAAAGTAGTGACCGAAGTCTGTGGATCGAGAAGAATATAGCTATTCAAACTAAATTGTGTTTAATATCAGATGGGTTTTGTGGATATTATAGTAATTTCAATGGTTAAGATCATGAGTCAATTGAAACTAGACCGCGGTAGTAGTGACCAGTGGAGTTCAACCAGGTCTGTTGTGAGATAGTAACTCACTGAAGACAATGGTGGATATGTCGCTCGATTTCGTGGATTAGTTGAAGTAAGACATTAACATCGTTGGATGTCGGCTCAGTGGTCTAGTGGTTAAGTGCTCGCGCGCGAAACCAGTGGATCCTGGGTTCGAATCTCGCAGGGGGCGAGGTCGTGGATGCGTACTACTGGGGAGTCCCACAACAGGGCGAAACGGCCGTCCAGTGTTTCCAGGCTTTCCATGGTGCTTCAGCTTCAACTGACTCATGATCCTAACCATTGAAATTAAATTGTGCTTCTCTAAAGCCACTCATCGAGAGAATATATTTGGGCTTCAGTGAATTTCAGGACACCAAACTAAATTTTTCTTCGAACTAGTAAAGTCTGCTTAGTAATTTTGAAATAATAATACTTCAAGTTACAATAACTATTAGGCATAACGAATTAAAAATTACTACTAATTTTGATACATTTTACTAAATTAAATTAGCTGAAGAGAATACATTTTGGAAGGTATTTCAAGAATGGAGTACTTTTTGAATTAACCAAAAACTTTATGAGATAAATTTCTATCAGAAATGATCGATTATATAATTAGTATTGACTTAAATGTGTATGTTGAATAATTCTACTACACTTATGATATGATAAAAATAGGTTATATTTGAAACATACTTTAATATGTTACATTTTGGTTAAAACTATTCAAATTTCAACTAAGAAGTCTCCAGTTCGAATCCTATTCCACCAACTATAGTTTCATCGGATACTATTAAATTGTTCTTAAAACTCAAAACTAAGTCTATTCGATCAATCATTTACAGTAATTATTCTGCTTATCATATATTTCTCCATAGAATTATCAATGTTTTTCTTTTTTTAAAAAAAAACAAACTAATCCCTTCTATTGTATACTATTGATGTAGTTAGATATAATGTTGAATTTCCAATAGCTTTTAGTTTAACATAAAATATTGTTATCACGAACATATTGTGCACAAGATACACAGTTACAATTTCAATGAGTTAGATTTTATCCATTTATTATCATTTTGTACAATACAACTTGAAACGTCTCATTTTTATCTCTATTTATATCATGATTATGTAAATTTGGCATTTATGACATGCGCATTAATATATTGTTTTTTTTGGTAACAACAACAGTATCAGTATCGTTCTCATATTTAGATTAGATATTAAACTAATAACTATTGGAAAGATATTATCTTATCTAATATCCCAGGCACTATGTCTAAAATGTTTCCGCCATAATCCCATTTCTCCCCCCCCCCACAAGATTCATAGCTCTACCGAACATATAGTTTATGCTTGTGTTATGTATCAAACTATCCCGATTTTCTGTGTTATTTTTTAAAATTATTTCACGTTAAATAGTGACTAGATTCATTTTGAATTGTATGTGTTAGTTTGTTTATTTTATATTTATCTTTTAACTTATTCACATCATTTGATGACTTAAATGTTTCTCTAATGTATTCTTCTATTTTCTCTTCTTTCTCCCACTATCCTTTGTATTTTAGCTTGATCGATTCGGAAATTCTCCACTATATTGATTATTTTAAAACACTCACACCACAACTACAAAAATTCGTTGATGATTGTTCTGATATCTGGCCATCATAAATAATATTGACTATCCATTTACAAAATTCCCATACAAGATGTGGTCTGGTAAAAAAAGATAAGCCACAAATACGCTCCTGCCTGTCTATATTAGCTAAAAGTATTTATTCACCTTGTGTCTTTCATTATTTATAAATGGATATACTTTATATTTTGTGAATAGATTGTGAGTCTTTCATTATTCGAATGTTTATACATACAAAGAATAACTGATTTCTGTGGTCCTATCATTCCAATAGACATATTTAAATAGATCAATTGTGTATGTGTGTGTGTACGTGTGCAAAATGTTTCTCCTTCACTCACTTGTGTATACATTTTGCTCTATTCTCTTTACTTTTATTCTGCTGTTATTATCAGTATTATTATGTTTCGTTGTTTCTTTCTGTCTTACTTTATTCCCTCTGTTCATATTCAAGTTTTTGAATGAATAAATTTTCCACATTAAACTTAAATTTTAGTAATAATAATCTTTTTAAATTATTATTATTATTAGTAATAGTAAAATGGGCTTACACAGTATTCATTTATTATTCATTATTGCTTCTATTAAAGAATATGTTGTATAATTTTTTTGGGGGGGGGGAGGGTGTCAATTAAATGTATGGACAAACGATATAGAAGTTTACAAATTTCTGTAATATGTGTTACTAATTAATGAAATTTCTTTTAAATATCAGGTAACTTGTCAATTGAGTTCAAGAAGTTTTGTTATGCTGTGTTGTTTTCTAAGTCTGTTACTCATATATATAGAGGATTTTCATTCAACAACCGAGTCAATAATATATGCATACTGAATGTACATCCTTCTCGCTTAGAAAGTAGAATCACATTTTCGATCAGTAACATCTGTTTCTTTTTAGAAAATGAACTCGAATCCTGGCCAATAATGTATACTTATCATATAGTCTGTCTGATTGGTCCAGCTTTTCATTTTTTCTTAGTCTTTGAGGGGCATAGTACCATCCATGTAAGTATAGATTGAAGTTTATGAGACGACTATCGTATCAAAGTTGTGTAGAATTGAGTTTTGAATGTTCATTCTAATAGTTGAAAATCATGAAATAATGTGATGATTTATCTGCTGGTTCACTTCAGCTAAAATTTGACTAAACGTTTATAACTTTACTTTTTTCAGCTTATTGTTGTATAAACAGAAAACACAATGGAGACGAATAAAAAATATTTGTGTTCTTTTTAATTTAGTGTATCAAATATTGATGGAGTTTGGTTCAATGTTATGTTTGCTAATTGCATTTTTAAATTGATAATTTAAAGGGATCATTTGCATCTTTGCATTCACGTAATCAATCCATGTTTCTACTACACCTTCTAATTCATTTAGTTGCAATTTTAAAAAATCAATGAACTATCCGTACTGAAATCTGCCTAGCGTCTTGCAGAATATGTCAAGCATGGAAATGTAGTGAAAGCACCTGGTAACATAGATGAAGTTTGAAACAGCACCTCTGGATATTCAGCAGAATAAATCAATTGTAGTAACTTTTCTATGGCACCATTCTCTATCATCCGCTTAGTTTTAGAGTTTACTAAATTTTAGCATTTGATTATCCATTAGATTCAGTTTGGTAGTTGACGCAAACTGGATTCTATCAAATATAATTTGTTAGACATTTTTGCTTCCGAAGGTTATGCAGAGAACCATTTTGTGCACAAGTGTTTTTTTACGTTAAATTCATAGGGAAATTCAAATAAAAGACATTGTTTAAAATGCAGAGTAAATTTTTTTATTAATTAGGCTAAGCCGGTTGGATAATGGTGTGCTACAGTGGCTCTTATTGAAGGCATTTTGTTATCATCTGCATTATTTTCAAAAAATTGAAACAGAACGTTTTGTAAACTCATCTTGACTATCTGTAAGCGCAATGATGACCGAAATTCAGCAGATATATGAACTGTACTTTTGTATAGTGAGGTCATTGACGTAAGTAATGTTTTTCTGGGAAGATATCAATGATTCATTCCCCCCAAAAAATAGTTGGAACTGTAGAAAGAAAATGTAAACCAGCTTCCAAATAAAAGTCATTATGAAATAAGAAATGTGAGTTGTATGTTGAATACTGCTTCATTATTTCAAAGAGAAATAGATCAGGATGTAGTTGAGAGTTATTTTATCTGTGTTTTTAAAAATATATTTACCAGCAATAGTGAATTTAAGAAAATATTTAACCTCAAAAATTAAGAGTCTAGAAATATAAATTTCTTCTTGACAGCATTATCCTGATGTTAATGTGAAAATTCTCAATGAATCACATTAGCCTACACTTATTGATTTTAAAATTGATTATCAAAATTCAATGTAAAATATTCATAGTTCATTTTCTGTGATCTTGATGATTTCTCAAAATAACCATTGGGTAAGCACATGAAGAATCAGTTTGTTTAGCATAGATTTTTCTTAGAATCGAATTATTCAGCACCTAGCTATAAATCATAGATTAAAATCCAAGAAACTGTGCTGATTAAAAATTTTTAATATGTTGTTCAACTTATCTTCACTCTATCTGAACATTTGTAACACACACACTATTTGTACAACTTGATCAAAAAGTGACTTTACCTCTGATTACCATCTCTTATTAAAAGTTATACTCAAAGAATTTTTTTGTTGTTGTTTGAGTGAAGTTTATGATCTAAATGTTTATCAATAACAATCATATAATGTGATTTTACTTTGATAATTTCACATGTAAATAAATTGAGTTTATATTTATCATCTTGTGTTAGACTATTTAGTTGTATATTAAATCTCTTTTTCCACAAATAAAATAAACTTTTTTTCTTTATTTTATAGTTATTGTTATACAAATTGAAATCATATTTATACAAGATTATACATATGAAAATTCAATAAAATTATGTATTAAAATCAAACTGGATAAGTAATTGAATTCGAATGATAAATAATTTGTACTAATTTCATTGTTTCTATGTTAATAAACATGGTAACAAGAGTAAATATGAATGTTTAAAATAATATTACTCATAGTGATATGAAGAGTAAATATGAATGTTTACAATTTATTTCATTGTATAAGATTTACATATGTGGTCATATTGTTGAAGTAATATCAAAAGTATGAGATCATGTATGTAATAGATTGAATAAAATGTGAATTGAAAGGATACTTCACTTATACAAATACACAGAGAGAGAGACAGAGATAATGCGAGGATAGAATTATAATGCATCATAGTTGTATTCAATAACTGAACATTAAAACTAAGAAATCATCACAGTTGGTAAGGATACAGATAATTAATTTTAAAATGATGTCATTGATCCGAATAACAAATAAGCAAAAGAGTATTCAATATTAAATTCTTTATCTTGTATCAATATTTTATTTATAATGAAAGAACTTTTCTAGAAGGAAGTTAAATAAATAAAAATATTTATAAAGTGCTCAATTGTGAACATTCAGTTTCATTTTCATTTATGGGAATTTTACCTCGTGTCCGACGTGGACAACATCCAGTACCAGTTAATCGAAATGAATAAGCTGAACTTGGCAAATTATCTAATCGGCTAGCCATTGGATATAAGAAAAATGGATAAACAATTAAACCAAATAGAACTGATAATCCCACTTCTATATAAAAACCATCTAATTGTGTAACACATGTTCCATGAATAGTTTCACAGGCCTAAAGAAGAAAATTAACACAAGACTAATAAATATTGTTTTATCTGTTACAAATTTTACACTTAAACAAATGATTGTTTTAACCGAGTCGACACACTATGGAAAAATCAGTTAGATAAATAGTTTCAACGAATGGGCTTCCTGATCTTCCATTAATTCAGTTTGACCTAGTACACATTTCAACATTTATCCACGCTTCTAGTTGACAAATTTAAAATTTGTCGTGTATAAGCTGTACGTATAACTGACAAAATTAGAAAGAACCGCTGTGATGGAAAATGGTTTTTCTCCCGAAAATGAGAACTTAACTAAGATATTCTTCATGAACATTAGGTTCAAAGAAGATATGTCAGTAGAGATCATGAAAAGCCGATTGTTGAGATCTTTAAGAAAGACATATTCAGACGAGCTACAAAGTGCTTTTCATAAAAACCTGATCCGAAGGTATAGCAAGGATTAACTAGAAGTTTATGTCACCTCATTATGAATCTATCAGTTGACTTTCTCTTATTAACTAGGTTGTGGTGGCTGCTTTCTCTTTACAATGGCATACTCAAACATTATGTTATGTAGCTATCTAGTAATTATTTACAAAGTCAAGCAAACTGGCTCGGAGAGAGCCTGTGTTAGAAACCTGTGCATAACAATGGCTTATTCTTGTTCTCTTTATTCAGAGGCAACAAGCCAAATACCTTATTTCCCTCTGCATTTAATCCTGCTTTAAATGCCATAGCTTTTCATCACTAAGCTTTTGTTTCTCCATTGTATTCGTCAAGTGGACAAGTATATTTTATAGCTCTTCATACAATAACTCCACATCATTGTATCTCCTTACCTTTGAGCTATTACGTAACTTCCACTCAATAGTGGGAAGTTTTCCTAACATTTTGATAGCTTTGTTAATGACCTTAATATTAGTATTATTCGTAACTAAGGCTAAATAAAATAGTTATTCAATAAAATTCTTTAATACATGGAGAACACAGTTCAAGTATCTGAGTACTCGGTATGAGGGTTTGCGGAAATTTGAGTGTTATTGATATCACAAACCGACTTAAGTTGTATGACCACTTAAAGCCAGGAAGTATTAGACAGCTTTTTAGTTGTAGTATCGGACATCTAATCTGTGCACATCCACGACTTCACCACAGGGGACTGAACTCAGGACTTTTTGTAGGATGTGCGAGCACTCAACATTTAAACCACTGAGCCGGCTACCAACTGGCTATATGTTTAACTTCATGTTCCCAAAAATCTTCAGCAACCTTCACAACCTCTATACTGAAAATTATTGATTACCTCTTGCTAACTAATCATTCTGGTAAAATGATCCTCATAAACAATTACTATTCGGTGTTCTAATATATTTTATGATTAGTTTATTATGAAAGGCAACTTAAAAAAACAGAACAGAATCCTTTATTTATTATAGAATTATTCAAATTAATTTATAACTTAAATAAAAGTGACTTCTTTTTTAGTCATAAAACACACTTACTTTAATCCCATGGGGTAGTTTACATGTTGCATTATATTGTTGGACTAATTTATCTTTATCAAAAAATGTATAACTATTGTTATAATTATCATTATTGGTTGTATTATTCAATAATGAATTATTTGAATTGATACTTTGAATAATTGTTTGATTGAATTCTTTCAAAATACATGCACGTTTAGTTAACGGTTCGATTAACGAAAGGAAAGCAGTACTGGGCAAGCTACCAGCTTTAAAGGCAAAATTAAAAAGCATATATATATAGTGATAATGATGTGAAAGTCTTTATTTATTCTTCAAACTAATTTCTGAAATACTATTTAGAATCAAACAGTAATGTACATCAGTCGATTTTCATAGGTGTTTTATCAGTGGTATGTGTATATATACTTTAGCATATAAATTTTAATTCAAACTGGTCTGACTAAAACTCAGAAAACTATCATTCTTCTACGATGCATCTTAGCAGTGAATAATTCACTATACCATAAGATAACTAGATCGTTTACCCATTTGATTGAGCCCATAAAGAAGAAAACCTTTTGTATATGGAATGAAAAACAGCTATAATATCATTTGTAGAATTTACCGGCTTAAACTGAAAGTGTATGATTTCTTTAGATGTAGAGTTTTCATTTAGTAATGTTTCGTTAAAAGAGATCATCAATATCATTTGCGATCAGTGTGATAGAATTGAATTTCGAAAGAGCCTAAAAGATCTGTATCTGTTATGCTCAGATAATGTGTGTATTTTCAGAAAACAACGTAACTATACTCAGTCATCAAGACCTCATTTTCGCTTGGAATTTTTTCTAGCGCAACCAGAAAACATCATACTAAAGGAAATGATAAACAAACGTCACTTTATTTCACATATGTTGATTATACCTTCATCATATATGTTAATAGAGACCAATCGGACCCATTATTTAGATTTTTCAATGCGACTTAATCAAATTTAAGGTGAAGTACAAAGTGGAATGAGTTTCGTACATTTAACGATAACAAAAATGGACGACGGTTGAATCTCATGTTCCGTAATAAATCTGGTTACCTTCAACTTGATCTATTTATTACCTGTTTATGCACCGACAAGTACTTTCGAAGAACAGACAGTATGTGTGAAAGAATCCCTGAACATTTACCTAAGAAATAGGTGTTCGATTGCCAAGGAAGTCCTACTCACTGCCTTCTTGTGGCTAGGGTGTTGTTTACGAAAATGAGAGGACGAAAAGCGAATGTCCGGCGCTTTAACCGGATTCCAAATCAATGGTGCACATGAGCTCCAGTATCCCGAGGGAACAAATGGAGTATGAACCAATTGTTGGTCACCGGCTTCCATGGGACTGCATCTCCTCACGATGCTCCACTGCCTTGTGGGTCAGACCTTTAGGTCAAAGGCTCGGGGTGTGGCACCCTAAGAAAACCACCTGCTTTGGTCTGGGCACCCGGCAGCATTACAGCCCTCACACAAATCGAATGATTTATGTGGCGCATATGTATTTTGTGCCTTCTTGTACCAATGTTTATGTGTTTAAATAATAAAATAATAATAATAATTCGATTGCCACAAACTACTCGACAATGCCATAGGAAGAAATATTATACATTCAATAGTTCAGCAGTTCATTTTATTTATTTTCCAGTGGTAAACAGAAAGAATAAGAACAAATTTCTACGTTCTGCAGAAGTAGTTGCTATTTCAACCCCAACTTATACGTTAAAAAAAACATATGTTCCACTTGAAACTGCCCTGGTAATCAACTCACTACCCTTTCTTTTTTATTCTCTCGGTTATATTGATTTGACCTCATCTTTATTTAACCATAATAATACTCTTATTATTTATTTTAGTCAAATTTTCGTTTTTAACTTGTTATTATCACCGGTCTTATTATTTGAAGACATTTCAATAAAATGTTTGACCCTTTTTAAACATCCAACCACTCCTGTTTCCGTCTACCTTCTGCAAATATTATTTCCATCATTAGTATTATTATTATCATCATCATCATCACTATTATGATCATTTCACAATCCTTTTTCGGTTATTACTATCAGTTTTGTCATGTTTATCTACAGAAATCATAACAGTTTATGTATGCTTTTGCACTCGATTACGTCATAGTCCCCCACTCAATATGTTCATGAGTACAGAAATTATATAAAGTCACTGTTCACGAATGTACCAGATGACTTTATATATGCTACACACTGAAGTATATTTGGGAAAAACTTTTGTTATGATTTTCTCTATATTAAAGGTGTACATTTTTGAAATACCAAAATACAGAAGAATATCAAAGTCTCAGTGGTATTTCTAATAACATCCTTAATGAAATAAACAATTAGGTAAAGAATTATGTCAAACGATTAAGCTAGTTAGTAGTCTAGATAAACGTAGTGAAATTCAACAGTTAGTATTTATCTCAATCACTAGTAAGCATTTCAGATTCGTAAATAATTTATCACTTTATTTAAGTGATGTAATTAGAACTCAGAGAAATGAAGTGTGCTTTTCTCTCTCGAAAATATCGAATGATTTATATTAGTTAGTTAATGGATTAAACATTGATTTTCATTAGAGTATATATATAAAACATTGACAGCAAGAAATTTCAAACCTTTACAAATTAAATACAACCCATATCCGTTGTACAAGCACATGACTATCTGAACTCAGTAGCTATGTGAATAACACGTTAAGGCTTTGAAGTAAAAAGTAATGGGTTCGAGTCTCTATGTAAACATCGACACTGTGGTACAGGAAGATATAAGTGACGGGTTCCAAACAAGACGAAACTCGCTTATTAAATCCCACTACTTTCCATAATCCATCTCAATTTAAAAATATTGGTGAATAGATGAAAATAACGATGAGACCCACTCAGGATGCACAATATGAAAAGTGACTAACCGATTCCAGTTCTTAAGATCAACAACGATAAGATTTAAACCTTTTTATATAAAACCAAATGATGCATATTTTCAGTGTGTTTTGGCCTTATTCTCGTTTTGATTATTATTTTGTGCTTTGCTTTAAAGCTGTAATCTCTTATTATTGTCTTTGATGATTATTATGAAATGTACTTCCTTCATGTTTTTTCTATTATCTGTTAATTAGGCGCTTATATCTCACATTTCTTATTCCTAAATTATTCTCCTATTCTTCTATAACCTCTAGATTAATATGTGACCTCGTCTTAATATTTAAAACTTCGGGTTACCCTATTATGTAATCTCTTTTTATCCTCCTATAGACTGATATATTGATCAAATAACTATAAATACGAATGTATAGTTTAAGTAAAAGATTTTTTGAAAAATGAAATTTTCTTTCTTTCTCTATTCAACAACATAATGGGTTATTTTAATTAGTTAACATATATGTATTAAATGTGTACTTGAAATTCAGCTTTATTATCAACTTGATGAAGCTCATATTTACAGATTAGTTTTCTACTTTATTTGTTAATCAATCTATAGAATAAAATTCATTTAAGAAATTAAAATTACTTATGATACTTATAGTATATTAATTGCTTAGATGAAAACTAATAACAGATAAATGTAAATCAGAGAAGAGTTTTTTTGGATATTATAGGATTATCAGTATAGGGTTGTGGAGATTATTCAGTTTTTGATTGACATCATGAACCGATTGATGTTAGACCACCTTTGAAAACCGTTGGATGACGGTTCAGTGGTTTAGAGGTTGAGATCCAGGTTTTCAATAGTGGTCTAGCATCAATCAGTTCATGATCTCAATCAAAAACTTAATAATCTCTACAACCCTATACTGATAATTACTATGTACTCACCAGTGACTAGCTTGGTGTGAGACGTTTCTGAGTTATAGTGAGAAGCCGTGACCAGTGGAGCTAATCTGTGTCAGATAGAGACAGGTATCTACCTCAGTACGATGGAAGATGGTCGCGCAATTACATGGATTGGTCGAGGTTAAACATTAACACCGTTAGATGTCAGCTCAGTGGTCTAAAGGTTAAACGTTCGCGAGCGGGATCATGAATGCGCACTGTTGAGGAGTCCCCTAATAGGACGAAACGGCCGTCTAGTGCTCCCAGGTTCTCAACGATGGTCTAAAATCAATTGATTCATGATATCAATCAAGAGATATCATAGTAATTTAGTAGTTGGATTAGTGAGTCAATTGAAGCTATACCTCCATGGAAAACCTGGAAGCACTGGACGGTTGTTTCGAGTGAGACTATAATTCATAGACGACTTTTGGGCGACGATGAAGTGACCTTGTGTCCATCTAATAACT